AAGCAGAGAGTTAAAGCCACTATAGTGGTATTATATGTCTCACATCCCTGCCTGTGTACTTCCCAGAAAGTTAACATGGTTGTCTATTTGAGTTTTACCCATAGGTATTTACTACAGTTGATGGACTATCCACAATTACAGTCGCATCAGAAAAGTTTAAAAACACAAACAGCAATTGGCAGTACAAAACCATCAAATCATAATTTAGTCTGTAATTTGTTCTAACATCACCATTCAGTGGTAGGATATGTGGAAACTAAAGAGCTTTGGTGTAAGAAGCTACTGGGAACACAACATACAGACTGACTATATAGATGCTAACTTCTGTAGTATGTAAGTGCTGAGCTTATACCACAGAATCTCACTGATCCTGATAAAATGAATCCCCATTGATTTCAACATATTCATTAGCTAGTTCCTGTAGCTAACTACTTAATACACAAGAAAGTAATTACACAAGTTGAAGCTCAATGTTAAAGTCCAAAGAAACCAATGCTGTTATGCTACCTAATCCTGAAGACACTAAGCAGCTCTACTTTTGGCTTCAGCCTCTGGTGCATTATTGTAGACCTCCAGAGGCTGTACCTGTAAAAAGTAATTTTCTCTAGAAAATCTGAAAGTCAGACGTAGTTGGCAAACACAAATGAAAATACAGACCGGTATAAAATAGATTATGATAAATTGATTATTAAAAAGGATAGTTAATGAACAGTACTTGCAAACTGCTTTCCAAATGGTTCTTCTTATGTCCATTTCTGTGGCATGTTACACAGCATAGCAAAGGGGTTATTATACTCTACAGTATTTCTGTACCACATGTGGAGGTAGGTTATGAACAGTAGTTAGTTTTGGCACATAAAATACTCAAGCAAACAATGATTCCTGGAATTCAACTGAAAACTTCCAGTAAAACAAAGATTGCACTCACAAAAGTTCAAATGATACCTAAAGTAAACATGACTAATCTCTAGATATTACACGCTACTACCTTTACTTTTTGTTTTAAAATCACACTTCTGTTCTCTGTAAGTTTGTAATATATTTTCTGATAATACTTGTGTTTTAGGAGACCCATGGTTTGGATTTCTGTCTGGTTTTTTGGGGATACTAAATCTCACTTCTATGGAACCTATTCTGTTTTGTTGTAACTGCTCACTCACATCCACTATGAAAAACCAACCTTACTGAATTTACAGGAAACCTAGAATTCGTATAGAAGGTGCTGAACTTGGCTCTGTGTTTTAATTAGGCTTTTTCTGTGTATTTATTGTTACAGTGATTTATTTTCTCCATAAAAACAAGTTGTTGTGAAAGTTGCCTTTGCTGAACAGTACTTTCCTGCTTGAAATTATTATGTTTGTCCAGGGATGACCAAGTAAATTATTGTTTCTTCATGGGATGAAGGAAAAGGAGGAAGCAAACAAAAACAAGGAGATAAAAATACCACCATATGATATTAAAACAGCCAAAAGAGGAAGTCCAAGTTAATGCATATTTCATTATGTCAGGAAATATGAGAAAGCAGACTAGAATATAATGCTGTCTGGTTTGGTACATTCAGTGTTTATGCATCTTTTAAAAATAAAGTGTAACACTTAATTTGCAAGATAAAAGAATCTGATACCACTATTCATATAAAGAATTGTGTTGTATTAAAAGATGTCAGTAAGTTGTGGGGAATGGAGTAACTAATTCATGTGGTCTTGGCTTCGTGGATGGCTGATAACTTTTCCATTGCATTCTTCATGCAATGTAATCAGTAGCCCAAATAGCTAGGAACATGGTATAGATGCTGAGTAATGCTTATTTAGAGGCACTTAGGATGAGATTGAAGTGTAATATTATTGGGGAAGGAGCTAAAGAGGTAATACTTCATTTGGTAATTAGACTCCTATAAAGTTGTCCTTTACAAGTCAGGGTTTTCTGCCGTTTTGTGATCTCTGGCTGTATTAAAAACGAGGCAGAGCAGCAAAACACCCAATAAAATTAAGACCTGGTAACCATTCTTTTGTTTTCAGGGTTAGGGCTTCAAGTGCCATTTGGTTGAACTGCAAATGGGCTGCAAGTAATTTTTGAGGAAAGAAATTAATTTGTTCAACAAGTTGTTCAAGAGCTGAATTTCTGCTTCAGCAGTGAGGAAATAAGAGCTCCCATATCTTACTGATTTAAAGACTGTTAAGAAGCTCTGGCTCATGCCCACTGAGTTCAATGAGAAACAGCTTGAATCCACAACATTTTGGATCAGGCACAAAATTATTTTGACAGCTTCAAGGAATAGGAATATATAGGACTATAAGGGAGTACAGTTGATGAAATCCTGGTCTCACTAAATTTGGTGAGAATTTTACTGTTCACTTAGAAAAGGCTGGAATGGTTCAGGATATATTAACTTACCTCAGTTAAGCTAAAGTATGATTGGGTGGGCTGGCTACAGAAAGCTCAGGAGGAAAGAAATTATCTCCATCAAGGCTTGAGTTTTCCTACCAAGAAACTATTATTTATTTTTTTAAGGTCTTACAAAAAGATCCTAAAGTGCAGAAATAATTCTCATTCCTTGAAAATTTGAAAAAACTCTATGCTATTAAATTTCTTTTACATTTTAATCCACCCTATCAAATACAAAGGGTAAAATCGGCCCTTTTGCATGTACAAATACTAAGTAATTTCACAGGCATCACCTTCAGAAAAAATACATGCTTACTAATGATATGATCTTGCATTATGCTTCAATACGACCCATCTGCAGATATTTAACACACTTAGCAGAATGGTGTAATAGTCCAGTGGTTCAGTGTAATTGCTACTTTCCTGCCCCTTGTGACCTTAATGTCTGAAGTCAACGTTATGTGTTCCAGAGATGTACCTGACAAAAAAGAACTAAAGAGAAGAAAATGATCTAAGGCCATCGGGAATAATAACAATGGTGAATTAAAAATCCATCACCATTCTGCTTTTAAAATTACATATAATTATATGCATGATAGTATTAAGATGGCTTCTTTTTTTCATACTTGGATGCCTCCACAGTATACTCTGTTATTTCAAATAAACATTGGAAAATTAGTTAGCTGGAAACTTCCTTGTCTGAGACCAAAAGAAAGCTTAATTAGTATAATTCCTTACAGTCCTGCTGTTAATATTTTCAGGGCCAAAAATGTAATTTTTGAAAAAAAAACCAAAAAACAAACAAACCCCCCCACCAAAATAAACCAAACAACAAAAAAAAACCCACAACAGGACAAAACAAACAAAAACTAAACAAAAACCCGAAACAGAACAAAAAAACCCCACCACAACCCTTTCCACCCCCAAGAAATCAAAAACCCAAAGCAAAACAGAACAAAAAACCCACCACGACCCTTTCCACCACCAAGAAAACTCCAAAATCAACCCCCCCCCCAAAAAAATAAAAAAAAACCACCCCAGAAAACACCCAAAACCCAATAACCCCACCCCCCCAAAACTGGAAACATAGTGAAATTACGGATGATCTAGATTACACCTCCAGTGAAAAATGTGGGACAAATTGGATAGGAATATAAAATTATCACTTCTGACTGAAGTATCTAACTTATGCAAACAACGGGGAAAAACTCCACCCTTTTTAGAACATTTTGAGATGTGTGAAAACTACAAATGCTAGAACTGTGAAAAGGAAACTGGGAATTTGATCCATATGTTCTGGAAATGCCACTGCCTACAGCTAAATTATTTTTGGAGAACAGAGGAGAGAACAGAAGAACAACTGCTCAAGCTGTTATAAACACAGGGTCTCCCTGGTGATTCAAAGATCTTACCATGGAGGGTATTAATGAGTGACTATTACCATCTGGGTACCATACATGGAGAAATAATTTTTTGGCATGTTCTAGTATAATTACTAAAGAACAAGATATTATATATCAATTATTTCTCTTAATTCTCTGTGAAGAAGTCATTCTGCTACACTATTCAGGGTGGTTCACAAATCTATTTTCTTCATATAAGTGATTATAATTTAAAAGCCTACCCTGATCCAAGTATTTCTCCTGCGTTAAGGATGGTCATATTTTAAGTTTGGGAAGCTCTTCATTGAAATATTTTTATCCTATTTATTGAAATATTAAAATCCCCATATGAAATAGCAGTTAGACCTGTAGACAGATTCTGCTACTTCCCAAAACCAAAAGCACATCATGCAGATTACAAGAGAAGTAATTAGCAATTAACCTGGGCTACCACTTAGTTGTTCACAGGAACGTGTGACTGGAAGAAATTAACTTAATTCTGTGATCAAAGACAACCAAGCCTTACATTTTTATTCTGTACTTCTAGCAAGCAGAATCTTTGTACCCGTTGGCATCTTCCACAAACTACTTGAAGGCTGCCCCTGGATACTTTTTCCTCTGACAATTTGATAGCCTGCCATGCTCACATTCATTTTATTTTAGACAGTCAGTACCTATTTATACCAACATTACCCTTCTAGTATGCAACACATACTCTCATAACTAGTTCATGCTAGTAACTCTTGCCACAGAAAGAGATAGAAACACACAGAGAGGAACAGATTTAGAGAAAGCAGTGTGTATGTTTTCTTGGCCATACCAGCAAGCTCTCCCTAAAAAAAGTTAGAAGATGTTTATAAAAAATTCTGAATGGTAGCAACTATATACCATCTGTTTTATTCTGGTTTAGAAAGGGATTGCATCAATTCATGGTGTTCTGTATACCACCTCTCCCTCACAACAGCCACTCAGCAAACCCTAGCAACAAAGTTGTAACTATGATATTGAAATAATTTAAAAATTTGCTTTCTTTCATTACAAATGACATTTGAAAATTATATTAATAACACTTCTGGTTTGTTACTAATTTTTACTCTTCTTTGGAAAAAATGTCCTTGCTGAGCAATTCATGAGTTCTGAAAATAACTAGTGCTCTTCGTGTATGATCAAAGTTGAACTGACCCTAAGTACAGTTCTTATTTTTCATGTCTTTATTCATTCTTTTCTACATAGTATTTGTGGAATTCAGCATCTGGAACGAGCAGGAAACAGGTTGACTCTCTTTGACTCCCTTTATTTCTGCATAGTGACATTTTCCACTGTGGGCTTTGGGGATGTTACACCCAAGATATGGCCTTCAAAGCTGCTTGTTGTCATTATGATCTGTGTTGCTCTTGTGGTGTTGCCCATACAGGTAAATGTGGATGTATTTTTTTACTCTTTAGAATTGTTTTTAAAACAAAAGAATAATAACTGAAATAATTTATTGTTACTATTATTACTATTGCACATATAATGTCAGAAAAAAATAACTATCTTCTGCACCTCCTATTCTGTGCTTTCTTTCCTTTATCCTTTGTCTGTTCTCCTACAGTATACCTTTATGCTATAAAACAGAGCACTAATAACAATTTTCAAGTGCTGGTGAAACATTTCTGTCATGTACCACAGAGCCCTCCCTTAATCCTAAAATATGGGTTTGTTATTAATGAAGAAATTCAAAAAAACCCGTAAACCCAAAACGACAGTAGCCAGCACTTTCATTATGAGCATAGCATTTCCTCTGCAGGCTCTCCCTGTTTCTAATCGTGGCTCTCTCCACTTCCTCTCTTACTCTTACAGCTCAGTGCTAACATGAAAAAAATCTCATTAAATGTGCAATTCAAGCAAATTGGGTTCACAGCTGTCTATGTCGGTACAACACACAGATAGGAATTTTTCATGCCTACTTAAGTTTAGGACTTCCAACGGTTTCAACAGGAAAAGGCAGATTTATGAAAATCCAACTATTTCAAGGAGTCAACCACTTTCATTAAATTTGTACCAGACATTTCCAAGCTCATTAGGTGAGGCTTGGTGACAGAAACCCTGAAATTACATGGGAAGCCGTGCCAAGTTGTTAAATGTTCCACACTTGGTCGTCACCCAGACCTCCTGCCACAAAAAAGGGTACGGGGGAGACATTGTTCATGCTTATCAAAGCTTATAGTGGACCTGCCAACCATGAAGCCCTAAATTTTTCCTACACAGCCATGGTTTCCAGACTCTGCTTCTTTGACAGTGAACTAAAGCTAACTGTGAGCAGACAACACAGAAAGCCTGGGAGACTGGAAGCTCAAACTTTGTGCATTAATTTTCTTGAAATTATTTGAACATTTTAACTAAATTTTTAATGTATACATATGCAGACTAATGCAATTACATTCCCACTCAATGGGAATTTAGTAAAATATATATTCTATTGAAAACTAAAATACCCTCTAAGAAATTTGGCATTTCCTAGGAAATACAAATTCCATCTTTCAGGTAGTTCCAATATACACTTCAGGCATAAAAGCTCTGCATTACCAGTAAAGAGCTCTGGAATCTATTGCCCTTTCACATAAATTTACCTATTATTAGCTCCTTTATTTTATAGCTTTGTTATGATAACAGGGCTTTCTATAGTTTGCCATGCACAGAATGTGTGGCAGTAATTCTCTCCTGAGCTTTTGTCCTATGATATTAAATCATTATTCACGATTCAGTCTCCACATCAGTTAAATGTGGATGAGAAAAATCATCTATCACACATACGTAGTTAAATCTAGCTTAGCATTAAATGCATATTACTTACAATACAATTTGAAATTGTGTTTGTATGTTTTATCACAGATTATTACAATGACACTGACAGAGTATTTCCTTTAAAGGATTCAGATTAGTAGAACAATATGTACTGTTGGCCTGTATCTGTTGTTCATCTGGCAATGACAATTTGCTGTATTAACAACTGCTGTGTATTTTAAGTTATATCTAGATTTACAAAACAAGTAACAGAATATACAGAAGGTCACCTTAAGAACATTTTAAAGTATCTGAGAAGAATTAGTGGCCAAACTAAGTAAAACAGTGCTTCTATGTGAGTATCTGTACCCACAGCATACATTTAAGTGGGTGAAAATTCAACTTTTCTTTTGAGGGAAGCATTTATGTCACATGGTGCTGGAAAAGAGAGTTCAGGGGTATAATCTACGTAAAAGAATAAGGTACAGCCTTCATTCTTTTCTAAAATCTTGAGTTCTACTGTAATCTCATGATATTTTAATGGATTTGCCCCACTTTTGTGTGTGGTAGAGTGGCTCTTCTGCATGTTTTTTTTAATCACCCTATTATTCATCTCACCCACTTACTAGAGACCTTTTTACAAAGAAAAAGACATTGTAGGCTAAGAACAGCTTTTCATAGAGGCATGAGATGATCAATGCAACATTGTTAAGTCATGATACAGTTGTACTGCACATCTGCTTGTCTATATTGCACTGACAATTGGCATCTCTTGCAGTTTGAACAGCTGGCATATTTGTGGATGGAGAGACAAAAGTCCGGTGGTAACTACAGTCGACACAGAGCTCAGACAGAAAAACATGTTGTGCTCTGTGTTAGCTCTCTGAAGATCGACTTACTTATGGATTTCTTAAATGAATTCTATGCTCACCCCAGATTACAGGTACTTACAGTGAAAAAAAACAAAATAAAAGAGATTAATTCAAACCAGTGATTTTCAGGACAGCCTTCTGAAATAGTTTCTAATTTGTAAAACTGAATTTGGGAATAGCTGATTGAATTGGGAATCTATAATTGCAAAAAGAACCTGGTACAAAGTATGGAGACATTAATTTTAAATTGAGGTAAATAGACTAAATAAAGAGAATTACTGTCTTGTTGAATTATGCCAGTCCTTGTAGAAACAGATATTTCCATGCAAATTCTTCATATTCTACCCCAAAATAGAAAATAAATGAAAACTACTCTAATTATTTTTTCCTGTTATTTTGGGACTGGATCCAATACTCCTCACAAGTGAAAGCATATTTGAAGTCTTTGCATTTTGCTTTGGGTTTTGCCAGAGGTAGGAAGATTAGATCCTTTTGGAATTGTGGAAATTAAGAAATAAATAGATGTATTTTAAAAGACAAAGGCCTTGAAAGACTACACACAAGAGTTTTTCTTAGTGTACACATATTCCCTAGCTAATGCAAACCTGCCAGATGACTTTTTTTGGTCATATAAAAGCTTATTTACATGAGATAGCAATTTGGTTGCATTATCATTATCTTTGCTACAGACCATTTCTTTCACTAAATCTTCTCTGTGTTTTTTATTAAGTTACCTGTGGTACCATGCTTCGTTAAATAGTGCAAGAAAATCACAAAAATACCATTCTCAAATTGCTCAGCAGCAATTTGACAAATCCCAAATCCAAAATATTCCCCAAAATAATTACCTAGTAAGAGGCATAAGCAAATGCACAAAGAAATCCAGTTCTTTATAGATGCAAACAGAAATTGAAACCCAAAACTTAACTCTTCTGAAGAATGAGTTAGGCTCTGTGGTACACTGGAGACAAAGAAGAAAAGTCCTAATACTACTTATGTAGCATTAAAAAAGTTACATACGTTTTCTCCACAGCTGAAATGTGAAGCTGAAGGACTCAGATAACTCACAGGATCCCCTAAGCACTAAGCTTTCTGCAAGTCTGTGTGTGCTAGAGAAAGCCTTCTATGACAAGCCTGTCCTAAGCTCTCAGGCTCTCCCCTCATGTTCCGTTTATGTCTCCTTTTTCTATGTACACATATGTATACTTCAGAGCAACTGTGCTTTTCCTAACAAGGAGTGTTTGTTGTACAGGAAACAGAGTTTGGATCTGCCCCTTAATGTAGAGGAAAAAATTTGGGGGAAGACAATTCCATTTTAATCATAGAAAACTTCCTACGTTTTCCAGCTAGAATGACAGAAATATAAACTGTCTCTAAAAAGAAAACCAAATTATGCTCAACTGGAAACAAAAATGTTTCTAAGTGTACTTCACTTAACCACTCTGGAGTCTTCTGTGAGCAGTTGACAGCTGTCCAGTCATTTTTATTAAACAATTAAATATTTTAAACACATGTCTTCAAATAACTATTGTCAATTAAATTTGAGAATCATCAGAGACCCTTTTGACACCCTGGGTCTCTGTCAACTCATTCTCTAGCAACAATAAATAGTAACATAATAAAATAACATGACTATTCCCCCTTATGTTTTTGACAGGACTATTATGTCGTTATTTTGTGTCCTACTGAGATGGATGCTCAGGTCCGAAGGGTATTACAAATCCCAATGTGGTCCCAAAGAGTTATCTATCTGCAAGGCTCAGCACTAAAAGATCAAGACCTGTTGAGAGCTAAGTAGGCAAATATTGACCAATATTGTTTTTACTTTTGTTTCACTCATACTGTTTGATAAATAATTTTGACAAAAAAACCCACAAAAGCTGTGCTAGAAGAAAAGCATGTGTATGTAGAAGGCAAGGCTCCAATATAATTTGTTTTTCTTAATATCTGAAATTTTTCAAGGAACAAATATTTTTAAGCTCTTTAATTTGACAAAATTCTTCCTCACTTTTATCTTGGTCTCAGCTTTTAAAGCAATTGAAACAGAGTGCCTGCAATTTCTTCTGAGAAAGCAGCTCAGAAAATTCCAAAACTGCCAGTAATGATAGGATTTATTTCTATTCCTTCAGCAAAAATAGTGAATGTGATGGTAGTTGTCCTGACCAGCTGAAGGGGGGAAAAAAGCAAACAAAAATAATTATCACACTTTGAACCCATTGCAGGGTTTTGTTTCCTTCCCACGTTCAGCCTGTTAGTGTAAGCAACTACTCTACTATACCTCCATATACTCTTCTTTCAGGGCCTTCCTCTTAACACATACTTCCACCACTTCTAAAAAATCCTCTCTGGCAGTTAACAGTGAATGACATTAATCAAAACACATCAGTCAAACACAGTTGCTTCCCCCCCACATTGCTCAATCACTTGAAGGTGTGAAGGAATTCACAGTGGAATTCATGTAGGTGGGTTGTCTCTTTAAACTCTCCAAAAAGAAAGGTGATTTTTAGCAGATAACTGATTTGACTTACATGCATTGCTCTTTATAAGAAGCAGCTAATATAGATACCTAAATTAAGGTTGACTATTTGTGTCATTCAGTCTTCTTTACCCCAGGGGAGTTATTTCAAGAATCTATCTGTGAGAAGTCTAGTGAGCAGCGTTATCTTCTCAGATTTCTGCCACTGAAAAAAAAAAAAAAATTAAACTTTGAGGTAAATTTAGTTTTTTTATAATAAAATTTAGCTTTTTTTAATAATAAAAGCTTTTTTTTCAGAATTAGGGATTTTCATTTAGAGAGGTTCCTCTTTTTGCTTTCTTGCTGATTTCAAGAATGTGGGGATGTAGCAGGCATTTGTTCTACACATTAGAAGCAGAACAATTAGGCTGTTCCATAAAGAATTTAACTTATACTAACCTGAAGGTAGTCAACTGTGGAGCTGTGCTTTTTGCTGCAGAACATGTAATTGAATGTACCTGTCAGAATAATCTTCAACCTCTTCTGAGGGAAGAAGCATAGTGGGAATTTAATAGGAAATTTAATATGAAATTCAACCCAGTACCTAAGATGTTTCCTGTATTTTTTAATGAGAACATAATAACTGAGAAGATAACAAGGCACATGGTAAACTTCTTCTCATAAATAAAATAATGGTTACTAAAAAGAAGCCCCAAACCTAAGCAGCATCTCATTATCAAAACTTCATGCATATAAGAGAAATAGTGTCAAATAGCACAATAAAGGTCACAACAGAAAGTAAAATACCAAAAGTTATCTGACTCCAGTAAGTAGTGAATAGTTAACTAAGATTGTATTTTTCATTATATGCCCTAGTACACACTTTGAGTTTACAAAAGTGATATGCATTCTTACTTCCTACCTTTGAGGGTGTCATTTTGCAAATTCTTGGTGTTCTCTGAACTGTGTTCATGTGTCCAGCTTCAACAAAAAAGCAGAGTGAGTTCTGTCATGAGGTATCACTCTGAAACTTACATTGTTCATCAGCATGACTGGAGACATTATCACTACTTCAACATTTGAAACAACATTGGAACTGATAAATACAGCTCTCATTTTCCATGCAGACTAGCACTAGAAAGCAAGTTAACACTACCATGCTTGATTTCTCTCCCTAGCAGCTTTCTCCCATGATCTGTTATGACTTTAAATATTTTTTCTCTCTCTTTCTACTTTTTTTAGTGAAGTATCCATAAATCTTCTTAATCCTTTTCTTGTCCACCCTTTGCCTTATACTTTTTCCTTTCATAAATTTCTTTGCAATATATAAGGTCACTTTAATTTCTGCCATCCTCAAGCAGTGGAACTCTTGGGGTTTTTCGTCTCAGATTCAGTTTCCCAGCACATAAAAATGGTGCAATTGTAAAAGCTTTTTCAGTTGTTAGGACATAAATAATACTCCTCTCATAAGGAGACTCTGGATTGTCCTTAATTTTTTAATACAGATGTTAGTAGTGTTTCTATTATCTAAATTCATGGCATACATATATGTTAATCTTGGGTTATTATCCTTGTCATCTGTTCTGAAATGATTTAAAAAGTTAAAAAAATAACAGTGGGGGGAAAAGGTGAATATATTCACAAGAATTTTCATTTTCTTACAAAGTCATCTATATATAGTCACTCCAGTTACCTCTTCAGCTCTCATCAAAATCCCATCTAATTTCACTGAATTTTCTTTCCTACAAGTTTGTTAAAGTCCTTGTCTCCTCAGTTAGCCTCCCATGCTTAGCTGAAACTACTCCTACAGCTCCCATTATTTCTTCCTAATCAGCACTCAGAAGTGCCCTGGCCCCACTTCTTCACATCAGCTGCATTTGACATTACTCTTTTGGATATATTTATTTGCCTTTATTACAATTATTTTTCCTTTTCAAGTATTTTAACGGTTTGAGGCTTCCGCTGTTTTCTTACCTCTATGTGCCTATGTGGAATCTACAGTGATCTGACTTTATCCCTTTTCTTTATATTTTCTCTGAATAATCTCCCACAAAACACACAAATGTAGTTGCTATTTCTACAGTTAAACCCTAAGAGGTTGGCCAAGCTATCTGACATCTCATTCGGGATATCTATTAATCATCAACTTTGGTTTAGCTGCAGACAGATCTTAATTTTTGCTACCAAAATAAAACCAGTATCCTACTGTGTATCATAAGCTTGGAATAATACTGCAGAGCATCCTATGTAGACAGAGCCTGCATCTTGTGTTTTCCCACACAAGCTCTCATTTTTGCCCCACTTAAAATTATATTTATATTCTTGACATTTATAATGTCAGCTCCCCAAACCCTGTTTTTCGTAAGGCTCTGGAAATATTATTTATGTAGTACATCACTTTCCCTCACTGCAGTCATTCCCTGACTTACCCTTCTTTATTACTTCAAGGAGTAACTCTTTATTCTTAGCCTGCAACTTCCAGTTCTGAGAGGTAACCTAGGAAGTCTATAATGTCATTCTCTTTCACACATTCAATTTATTAACATACAAGTCCCACTGTGATTTCAACCATGCTGTCCCTTCAATCTAGGATGAATTTCTCAGAAATATCCTTAAAGTAATTCCAGTATTCTCCACCGCATTCTCTCTTCAGTTGATTCTCTATTATCTAGTGAGACCACTTTCTACTTTTCTAACTTTTATATTCAGACATTGTCATACCGTATCTTCCTATTTCCTGTGTTTACATATACTTCTGTTGTACTTTGTCATGCCACATAGCTATTATATGGTAAGGACTTTTTGTCCTGCGTTTGTAAAATACCTTAAAAAAATGGACCTTCAGACTAAGCCTAGGGTCCAGTTGTCCTAAACTGTTACTAACAACCACCAACTCCATTTTCTAGCAGCAAAGAAAGCAAAGATAGAGGAACCTCAGGTCCCATTCCAGACCCAAGAATGGATTTGGTGTAACTGGCAGTAAATTGTCTTTTCATTTTCCCCAGCTTCTGTCTCACTTTTTGCCTGCTCAGGAAACTCATTCCAATCATTGTTTCTCTTTGCCCAGAAAGTCCTGTCTTCCAAAGGAGGTCAACCAAGTAAAATTCAACCAAGGGAAGTAGGATTCACTGGAGGATATCAAGAAGAAAACAAACTTTGATGAAACCTTCAGACAGTTTTAATCCACACTTCTACAACTACTCTTTTTATTACATGACTAGTTGTATCCACTAGGGAACAATTAGGCATTAAAAGTTCTCAAAGAGACCATGAACTGAAAATAGTTAATTCATTTAATACATACACAGAGATGTTTGTAATTTACTCCAAATGCATTATTCTAGTATATCTACCCATCTTTCTGCTATAACTAGGCAAGACAAGTCTGTATTATCTGCCTCCTGTCATTCATTTTTATCAGTAGCTTGAACATATCATACCCTTACACACTATGCAGACTGGTGCTCTTTATTCACCTTTCATACTTATGACAGATAAATACTTATTTTACAAATTAAGTGTATTTAAGTCCACTCTGCTTTTATTATTTTGGCACAGCTTCTACTGGCACCAGGGAAAGCACATCTCCTAGAACATAGTCAAGAAGTACTGGTATACCATGACTTAATGTACAGGGTGTCTGCTACTCACATTTAGTGACAATGACTGACAAAGGATAGACTAAGCTTTATAGTCTATCTATATAAGCATACAAGACTATAAACTGTAAAACACAAGATACACGTAAGTATTTTGTTGGTAAGTAACAGGCTTGTTTCCCCTCTTCTAGAATGGATGATGCAGAAGCGTGTTTCATTCTGAGTAGCCGCTGTGAGGTGGACCGGACAGCAGCTGTAAGTTTTGAAGAAATAATTAAGAATTAATGTGTGTGCTGTTTATACTGTTACTGCCTCTACTCCCTCTCAGGACTGAGACTTGATTCTGTGAATGGAAGATTAAACTTACCTGATTTTATACAGAGGTTCTGCATGTGGGATGAATGTCTTGTCTCAGTTAAGATAATGAAAAAGTTTCTGTTAGAATCCGTAAGGCCAGGATTTCACTAATTTATGAAACATGGTCTAACGGCTTATTTCACATAAGATATCTAATTTTGCTTTCTTAGCAAATAAGTTCCATGACATACCTACCAAAGAAATTAGGATTTTACAGCATATTTTACTGGGTTTTGGGTTTTTTTTAAAGAGAATTTATATATTCTCACAGAACTTAAAATATAAAAAGTAGTGTAAGAATACAGAACTTTAAAAAAAGCCAGTTCTCATGCAGAATACAGTCATTCTTTCCCTTTTTATAGAGCAATGGCAGAATATCAAACTAGCAGTATCGTGGTACTTTATAGATATATTGATACTTGGTCATCCATCACTGAAAAGGGTAGTACTATGTCAAAAATGTTTTATGCAAATTACCTGGACTAAACCAGTTCAAAGAATTATATTTATTAAATCAGAAAATAGATATCTATCAATGGACTGGCATTTCCTTTCACAACCATTGAATATTGAAAATTTACTACTAAAAGTAAAGAATGAATAATAAATTAATTTGGGACTAATGCCAAATAACCAACATTATAGAATCACAGAATAATTTGGGTTGAAAGGGACCTTAAAGATCATCCGGTTCCAACTCCACTGTCATGGGCAGCAACACCTTCCACTAGACCAGGTTGCTCTAAGCCCCATCCACCCTGGCCCTGAACACTGCCAGGGATGAGGCGGCCACAACTTCTCTGGGGAACCTGTGCCAGTGCATCACCACCTTCATGGTAAAGAACTTCTTCCTCATATCTAATCTAAACCCACCCTCTTTCAGTTTAAAGCCATTCCACCTTGTCCTGTTACTGAGAATATTTGATGGTTTTTCATGTTGTCCAATTTTAAATAGGAAAAATCACAAGAGTCTTTATATAAGTTACTATGGGTTTGGCCCATGTTACTAGTTGTCCAGTCAGTTAAGTTACTGTTCATGAAGGAAGACTGCTAAAACAAGCCTCTACTCAGCGTATCTGTGATACAATAATAATTTTAATATGAACTAGAACTCTTCACATTAACAAAATTGCCTACTAATCACAAATATCCAGGGAAAAAGTCCACAGAGGAAGGATGTATGAACACAATTTCAACTTTTTCACCATGAGATGCATGCTAAATTCTTGCACACTTGTCTATTTAGTCTTGAACTCCAAAGGAAGATCAGAATAAATCTGAATATTCACAAAGTTAAATTAAGATGCTTACAAATTGCCTAACAGGATCTAAATGAGATCCTCTGGACTTCCTCAGGCAGGTCGACATCCTTCTTCCGTTAACTCAATTTTTTGTAGACTATCAGCATGCTGTAAAAAATATATTTTTTGCAAAGCTGAAGACCCAATGCAGGATCTATGACTTGCAGAAAGCCACTGAACTCCCTGAGAAAGGAATCTTTGCTCCTACAATAATATTCAAACTTACTGAACTAATAGCTTTGAATCTGATTTATCAGCAACAGACTCCTGAAAAGACACTAGTAAAAGCCACTGAACTCACAGCAAGTAATCCGGAAGTAGTCAAGTAAGGCAAACGTACTGTTTGAGTGTTAAGGGTATTTAAGTAGAAGAGCAAGCAACAGTTCTTGCAAATACCTGGGAAAATACCAGTAACTTCTGAGAGTTTTCATCATGACCAGTTACAACTCTCTCCAGGCAGTCTTTCTGCCATCAGAGACAGTGTGCCCCAAGAAATACCTGCCACATTTCAGCTTCCAGTACAGACCATTACCCAATCTCATCTATCAGGGTATCTGGAGCATACAAACAGGCAAATCTTACTGAAGACACAATCCTCTTAGCTTCCTCGGGGACAGAATGCCCTGTTGGGTGACTAGCTGGCTAGTCATGATGGCACAGTATCTCAACTGTAGCAGTGGTACTCTGAGGATCAACGTTGTAAGAAGTTTTTAAACAAGATGCCCCCTCTCTCTATTTTTTTATGGTGTTGTTTAGATTTCTTTTTCTCAGGGAATGCAGTTATTTACGCTGTTTTCGTTCTTTAAATTTTGATTTCACTGCCCCCTAGAGCTTTCAAGTGAAATGGATTCAATTTCCTACACTGTTCCAGCTCGAGTCACTACAAAGAACTTCAGCAGTGTAGTACATAAGGTTACAGTTTGTGACTGTGCTGAGAGAAGTTCAGTTGTCATCCCAGTAGGAATCTTTGTGACCACACCTGATTTTTCACCCTGGTGTGCTTGACAAGCTGAAAAACCATTAGGAGTGCCTTGGACCCTCTCCTGTGTCTGACAGCTGTCAAAATAAGACTTAACAGATGCATTGAGGAGATTCCCGACCAGAACAGCTGTTGTTACTCATGCAATTTTTTAAGTCCATGAGGGTTTTCAATCTCCCCAGCTACAGTGCTCAGCAGAGGATCTACTCATTTGCCATGGATATCGCTGGCTGTTCATTGCTTGCTATCCTGTTAGTTAATAAGTTTTAGTCTGCGCCAAAAGTCTGCGTTGCTTCCTATCCATGGATCTCAAGAAAAGTACAATAACAGGTGACATGCAATTACTCCATAAAAATTGTCAATTTCCTCTTTTTTTCACTTGGAGCAGTAGGAACTTCAGCAGTCAGACCAAGAATTTGTCAGCTTTCCAAAGTCTCCCACCAGAAACTTTCTCTTCTCTGGCAAGACAAATCTCTGCCAAATTTTATTCTATCAAACACTATTTTGACATCTCAGACCAAGATGTAAGCTGCTTATCTGCTACAGCAAGGAGGAAAGACATCTGTTTCAATTCTGGAGAATGCAGCTCTTAAAGAGAGTTCAAATTGCACTGAAGTCTGGATGACTTTTTTGGTTTGGGTTTTGTTCTTGTTCTGATTGATAGGTACAGAACAGCAGTCAGTACCACACCACAAAATTAGCCAGTGAATTCAAGACTTCAAAAGCCTACATCAGATTGCTCCACAAAACTAAGGTGGCTGAAAACAGTGCAGAAGGGGTGGGAAGAGAAGTGCCTTTTGAATTATCTTACAGATAATTCATTAATAAGCTATATAAATCCATGAAAGACCATTCCTATTGCTGACAGCTTTGCTCTGATGCTTTCTGAAAATTCAGAGATGGCCAAGTTCAAGCTTGAACCTTTTTGGTTTTGCTTCCATTAATCAAATCGTGTGATACTGCTGTACTGGTAATCTAAGGTACACTGTCTTAATAGCATGACAAGATGTATGCATTGGATAGGAAGATGTAACTAATTTATCAAGTTGTGCGTGGCAAGAAAAAATTAACAGAACTATTTAAAAATACATATTAAATAAAGGTCATGCCTTGAGTTCTGATAATTTAAATTCCTGTTACACCCACTTTAAAACATACGTGTTTTGATACGTGAACATAAATATCACCTCCATATTAATCAGCGTGAGTATCAGTGGTAATTTATGATCATAGTGCAATTCATTGCATAGAAAGCACACAGAAGAGAATGTATTCTTTTCCCTCATCTCCCAAAGAAACGTATTTCATAATGTGAATATAAGCATAGTTTTGTTTCAGTTATCTCTGTTTATAGCATGTACATATATACCTCCTTCTTACTTGGGAGAAGACTGAACATTTTTTAAAGTCACTGTAATACAGTATAGGAATTGCTACATACATAAAGCAGAGACTCACCTATATTATATGAAAAGAATGAATCTAAGAAATCACTTAAAGTGCTTAGCTGTGCTTTCATTTCTCTCCCCTGGAGTGGTTCTCCAGTGCAGAATTTGGGAGAGCGAGTGAAAAAACCATGAAAGCCCAAATAAACATTTCCTGTACACAAATACATGTGTATACCAAAGAGATGAAAAGAGAGAAAATGAAACAATAATCCATGGTTACTATCTTAAAAGTACATACACATTGAGCTTGTCTTACAAAACTATATATGGCACTTAAGTATTCATTGTATATACATTACATATTTGTAGGCTGCTTCTTCAAAAAAAGAGTTAGCAAATGGAAAACAATACATATTTCAGTCTTAAAACTGCAAATGTGCCAAATAATCATCAAGATATTTTAATTTTAGGGAATCTTTCTTTTTTTTATACAATTAAAAATATTTGTGCTGAGATTTATGTACTCAGTCCTGTGAGTCTAGGTTTGAATTTTTTTATAAAATGGTGCTGTTTGAATCATTTTAATATAATTTTTCATTCTTATTGTAAACAATTCTTGCACCTTCTGACAAAAATAGGCTTTTTAGGCAAAATAATTAAAAACAAACAAAAAAGAAAATATTTAACATTGAGAAGAGGAATAGTAAACTTAGTTGGAAATGTACAACCAAACTGATGCAGTTTTGATTTATCACAGTAAATTTAATCTTAGTCATATAAGTACTAATAATGAAAAAAAAAATTCACCTACATTTCACTGAATAAAAGCTATGTTTCTATGGATGTGGCATACAGTAAGCAGACTTTTCTCACTGCTTTTGCAAGCCAGTGTGGTCTTTGACTGATTGCAATGGAAAGGAAGGGAGGAAACGGATAAGTTTAAACCCTGTGCAATGAAACCACACTATCATGGCGAGCAATTCTCAATGTGTTTCTCTAACACCTTCTGCATAAAAGTTGAAGTAACATCTTGAACAACAAGAGGTTTTTCAAATCTTTCCCAAATCCACTCCCAAACCCCTTACTCCTGCTGTAGTATATCTGTATAACCACCATCTATCCCATTAGAGAGTCATTTGCTACTTCTACAGTGCTGGCATTTCATTCCCTCAATTGACATTAAAATATTATGGTTTGAAGATGTCAATTACGCCATATTCCAGGCAGAAATTTTCCCTTGTGTTCATGAGTCTGAAAGCTTTTCTTATTGCTGATGCTTCAAACATAATGAATCATTCCTTATACTTTATCTTTTAATACCACCAATTTCATGATTAGGCAAGGCATTTCAACCCAAGTATTGCTTCCTACATGCAGTCTCAAATATTCCTTTTTAGTTCTGAAATAAGTAAAACCTGATGGCTGATACACTGAGATTAGCCGTATTTCATTACATTCACTATATTAATGTATTATCACATACTTTGCTTTTATGGGATAGCAGCATTCATCCTGCAGTTAGCTCACTCTTGACATGTGGTAACAAGTACAAAAAAATAACAGTCTGGAAAATCTCTTGGAATCTTTGGTCAGTAGCTGTCTAAATTCTGACATCAGTTATGCAAATGTCTTAACTGCTAAAAAAAAAAAGGAGCTCTGTTTTTAATTGAGCTGATATTTTTCAGAATGATCCAAAATTTTAAACTCTGAATTCCTGATAACATTTAATGTTATTTACATTCTGAACCTCTTCAGAAGGACATATCAAATACATCATTCTTAATTAGACATGACTCATACTACCATCTAAATTTTCACATAGTTCTTCTACATCCAAATGCCACCCTTCCAAATTATGTGATCCCCAACACTTGTGGAAAGGTAGAAGGACAAAATACCTTATTAGTAGATTTCTAGAAACAGACACTATTCTGCATTCCAACAAAGAGAATGTATTATACTTGGATCACAGAATAATGGAGGTTTCAAGGGTGGTCTCTAATCTTAAAGGAGTCAGTAATGAACATTGACCTCATTGCTCAGGGCTTTATCAGGTTGATGTGAAAGTGCTGAAGGGTGGAGACAGCATAATCCTTTCTGCACAGCCTGTTCCACTGCCTGATTGTCTTCACGGGGAAAAGGTTTCTCTGTATATCCTGCCTAAATCTTTCTTTTCAACTTACATTCGTTGTCTCTTGTCTTCCAACCATACTTCACTATACAGAGAATGGCTTCATTTTGGTCGGTTATGGGATGGTTATTGAATCCACGGTCAACCTGGTCAATTCAATAATGATCCCATATCTAGTGAGGGTTGCCATTAGCTCCCCATGAGGCCATCTCTTCTTGAGACTGAACAAGCTCCCTCAGCCTTTCCTCACAGAGCCCCTGCTTCTGCCCCTGACCATCTTGGTGGCCCTCTGCTGAACTCAGTGCAATTTATATATATCTTTGCTGTATTGAGGGCCTCAAACTGGATGCAGTGTCTAGATTTGGTCTAATTTGCACTGATTAGAGGAGGATTATTACTGCCCTCTTACCTACTCACTGTGCTCCTGTTAAAACAGCCCAGGAAGCTATCAGCCTGTGCTCAGCTTGCTCTCTGCCAGGACTCCCAGGTCTTTTCCAGCACAGCTACAGCCTAGCCAGTCAACCCCCAGCCTGTACCAATGCAGGTGGTTACTCAGTCCCACACAGGACTCTGCTTGTGCCCTTGCTGAATTTCATGTGGTTCTTGTCAGCGCATTCCTCCCATCTTATTTTGGTCCATCTGAACCTGCCCTCAATTGTTTTGACTTTTTCCTGAAGCAAATCTGCTGAGTGTACACTCTTTCACCTCCTCCAAATCATGGATAAAGATGTCTAACAGAACAGGCTCCAGTGACACTCCACTTGCCCCAGGTCTCTGGATAGACTACATGCCATTTACCACTGCTCTAGCACTCCAATCATCTAACCATTCTCATCCTGTGGGCTCATATAGCTTGAGTTCTCTGGAGCAATCCCTGTCTAAAATCCTCCACTGCTGGTGATTCTCCTCCTGCTTGAAGCCTCAAAGCAGAGGTCTGAGACATTTTGTTGGTGAACAGTGAGAGTACCTCAGCCATGTCTGTGTCAGAAGAATTACTGGGTTGTCTGTGTATGTGCATATATATTTATGTAGTTAAATATGTCATATACATAACACCAGCACACTTACATAACATGCACACCAGCTGGTGTTATATAGTCTTAAAGTGAGTTTTCTTCAATGGAGTCAGTCTGATAAGAGATGTGCTTATTTCTAGTTCATTGTCATCACCTCATACTCTTTATTCTAGGATCATCAAACCATTTTAAGAGCATGGGCAGTTAAAGACTTTGCTCCAAATTGTCCTTTGTATGTCCAAATACTGAAACCTGAGAATAAATTCCACATCAAGTTTGCAGGTAAGATTTTAACCATTTGAAACACTTGTTAATATCTGTCAGTTTGTTTCATAAATGCACAAGCAAAGTGAGATTCACCTAGGGAAATTTACTGGTTGTAAGCAGCTTAAGAGCGTATATTGTAAAATAACTCATAGTCTGTATATACCCTATCAATAGTAAAATATCATGTTTTACTTTAAAGTCCTATTTATAAGCACTTTTAAGGATTATTGCTCTGTTACATAGTATGCAAAGTAGAATTATTTCATATACAAATGTTACTTCTTAATTGTAAATTCAGGTAGGTTTCCAGCCATATCCATGTCTTTAAATCACTTCTGTCCACTAAAACATACTGTTACTATGGGGTATATGAGAAGATCTCAGAAGTGGCCAAATTTTCCCGAACGAACGATTGGAAAAGAAAATCTTCCCCTTGGACTGTTTTTTCCTAAATGGGCTAAAAAACATTATTTAATTACTTTCAAATTTTTTGGAAAGAGATATATAATTTAATTATATATACAGTAAAACGTGTATCTTAGAAACTATTACATAAAATGCAAAGTGATATTAAGAAAGCCAAACAAATCCACTTGTAAAAGATTAACAGCTTTAACTGACAAACTGTTTCTCTGTGCTATGTAGGTAGGTCTCTCTGTCTATATATAAATACGCACACACATATGTATTTACATACAGACCTATTATGCTTATGTGCAAAACCACACAAATACTTTTAAGATGAACTCATTTTGCCTATCTTTGGAAAAATCTCTCTATGAAGTAGAAGCAAAGCTTTCCTTTTCAACTGGAATTTTGAAAGCTATTTTCTTGAGGGATATTCTAAGGAAGAAAAGATTGCTGATTCATGCAAAATTACAAAAAAAACCAAAACAAAACACTATGGAAAAATATTAGTCTCCTCCATCATCCCAGAATGCGATGAAAAAGTAAATTCCAATGCAGAGCAATTCCAGAGCAACAGTTAAAGCTATAATTCTAAAAGCTACTGAATTTACCACTAGGTTAGAAAGAAGGAAAAAAAATCATCACAGCAGTTCTGAAGTTATAAAAGTGTAATCTCAAACTGTGAGATGGCACAGCAGGGAATAAGGCTCACGCTGTGACAAGAATGATGGTGCTTTTTCATCTCCTTCTTAAAACCATGCAGCTCAAATGTAATCTCTTCTCCCTACCCATGGCCACTTTTCTTTATCGGTAACCGTGTTAATTTGTTGTTCCTAATTGTATTTTTAAGAGAGAGTTTCATTATTCTTAATGGTTTGTCTCTGTAGGAGCTTATGATACAGCTAGACTTGAAAAACAGAGGTGATTTTCCATATCTGTTCTAAGTCTCAGATTGAGAATTTGGAACTTTTTGTAATAAATAAATAAATAAATAAATAAATGAACAGCAAGATTAATTTAATGCTACTCACACATAGCACAGCAACATTTTAATGCAGTTTTAAATTCAGCAGCTTTACAAACATGGTATAAAGCACCACTGCATGCTTACTTACCTAGTGCAAACGGTAAGGCCACTGGTAGTCATGAGAACAACGTTAGTGTGCATGCATTTTCCTAGAAGGACTCTACTTTGATTATTAATCCCACCCAATTCTTCATTCTGAAATACATACCCAGTGGGGGTGCGGGCTATAGCCCTGTCCAGAGTGCTTATGAATAAAATTTGTTATAACCATATGGAACATTTTTCTAAGTGCTTTTCCTATTATGAGTCAGGACTGCTTTTATTACTGCCTTGCTGCAAAAGCTTCTCTTAAATTTGATACTCCTCTAATAAATGAATCCTTACTTCTGGAGGTTTCCCAAAACAATTTTGTGCATTTTTAAGAAGCAGAAATATTCAGTAGTAGGACTTTTTTTTCCTTTGCACACATGTTTATAGGCTATAACACTCAAAACTAAAAGTTTCTAAATTTAGAAAAAAATACAACCTAAGAGTCCAGAATGTCCTCCTAACAGAAGTCTAACTTTTAACTGCATTCAAAATTTTTAGAACTCTGGAAGCCCAGTTTCTCAACAGGTTCCATCAAGTTGATCGGTTATCCTAGACAGCATAATACAGTCCTGAAATTTAAATCCTGACTGCATTTTCCTGTGGAAGAGCATCCTGGAGATTTTCTGCCTTAGGCTTCAGAAATAGTATATAGGTCAAGTACCTGTTTTACGTTATTCCCATTCTTTCCATTACAGCAAAATGGAGGTGCTGCACAGGATAACGTGGCCTGTCAGAAAGGCAAGTTTCCTGTCTTCACTTGATGACAGACACAGCACCTTTCTACTTTGTTTAAAATGAAAACTTCTGATTATATTAATACAGTGGAAAAGTTTCTGTATGCTTGAATATGATTCTTCAATGGAATCTGAAAATCACAGGGCATAGTAAGTGTCACAGCAAACTCCTTTAAAGTTCAAGGTGTGAACACTGTAAGTATACAGCTACTCAAACATGACAGTTACCAGACGGACAAGGAAACATCCATCTTATGTCTTCAGCTAAAACACTTTGATTTTTTTCTTTGTAATTTCTAATATACCAATGCCTTGATGTGCCCAGTTTTTCTTTCAGTAATACTGCACTTTACCTCACTGGCAGTTTCCTAAATCTTCCTGCTTTTCCTTCAAACACACAGTCCTATAAAAGGCCACGTACCCTTACTGCATGCATCTGGCCTTGCATTTCAGCACACACATGAAATAAAGTGAAGGTTGTCCACAGTGGAGCAAAATACTTACGTAATTCAGAGACTAAATTGCCTGGGTTTTGAGTCGAATTTATATGTATGCTAGAAAATAAATTAATCACCTTTACCTTGAATATTCGGAAATTATGTATAATCACAATTCCAGGAACTGGGCATATTTTTTACATTCTCTATTCAAAATGCACCAATCAATTAGCAGATTGGTGAAGTCTGACATTAAACCTTCAGTAGTTTATTCAAAAGGAGCATAGTCCAGAATCACTGAAATGGATTTTGAATGCAGCTGATTAATCTATCTAATTACAGTTAAAAATAGTCTAGAGATAATGGATGGGCATTTTTCTACATCTGGTCTGGTTGTGCTCATGTTAACTTATGAAATCAACAAAAGTAAGGTTTCTCAGAATAACTGTGTCACATCTAGGAACATTATTACTACATGGCTGATGCCTCAGTATGATGATCAGTATTGAGTACTGTTTTATCTTCAAGAACATTACAGAAGCCATAACTCACCGCAGTGCATTGCCACATCTATTTGAGACAGACTTAGCAAAAAAATTTCTGTCAAAATATATTTTCAACAGAAACTGCAGTTCTGGAAATTCTGAATGGAGTATTTCTTTAGTATAAATGCAGTCAAAATACTTGCATTTGGTAAACTGATTTGACATATTCAATACTCAGTTCAAGATACACTGCAGGCTTCCTCTGCTGCTTCACTGTCACACTGAGTAATTTGCTGGTCCTAGTACCTGCTGTCACAGGTCCTGACAAACATCCCAGACCTGAGGAGTGGGAGAGCCGTTACCCAGCTTCCTCCCTACTCACCTTAGAAAGCATCAGATAGAGTTCTGTGTAATACTCACCATGGCTCCACAATAGAAGTCCTGAACATAAATATCAAATACAGTAATGTTATAGGCAAACTATAATCAGTCAGATGGAGAAATAAGCAAGTTATTTTTGACCTGATCTGTGTCTAATAACTCCTGACAAGAGGAGGAACCCATAGTACCTCTCCATGTTTGAAACGGCTACAGTATTTCTAATCACGGTAATTAGATCACTGAAGAATCTTTACCAAAATATTCGCAAAATACCTCTGAGGATTCAAAAGCTTCAAAACACTTCTGAAGTAGGTAGGGCACTGTTGTCATATACATTTTACAGGTGCATAACAAGTCTTGGAGGCCATAAATAGCTCTCACAAGCTCAAGGACTACAATAGAGGGGAAATAGTCCTACAAGTCCCAGCCCCACTGCTCCTGATGTAAAAACACAATGTGAATCTCGTACATGTAAGAAATAAAGATGACAACTATAGGACAGCAATCTGTTTGCTGTGTGCTATATGCTCTGTTAACATGGTATTTTACATCAAATCCATCCAAAAAGTCAACTATACATTACAGTATAGAACATATGGAGAATTTAAGTCAGATATACTTTTCATTTGCATTGTGCCATCCATGGTTTCTTAATTTCATTTACATATATTTAGGTCAGCATGTACAATTTGATTCAAGATCTGAAATAGCAGATGATAAAATAACTTTCCTGCATATTTTTCCTTGCTTCTATTTTCTATATAGCATTAGCTATGTAATGTAACAACATTCTAGAAAAAGGGGAGGCTGGCAAAATCTCACACAAATTAAAAAATACAGAGAATTCTCGTTCCTTCAGGAAACCAATATTTGCTTTCATAAACCTTTGCCATCTGATTAATGGTAACAGAATGCAGATATGCCATCCAATGAATAGATTATGTCTTACTCTCTCAAAACCTCTAGTATAAAATTCAGATAGATTTATTAATGGCACATGGTCAACTAAACGAACATATTTCTGTCAGAAATATTTTCTGCAGGATATATTTATTTGCTATAACTGAAATATATTTGGGGAGGAAAAGCCTTATTTTGTTCTATATTTGACAGTCTTCATATAGCTAAATTAATTCCTCCCCTATGACATTTAAATAAGACTTGATATTCAGAAAATGAATGAATTTCTCCTTTTGATGATTCTGTTACTGAAAAGCCTCTAGAAATTTCAAAAAAGGGATAGAGAAGGCATACAAGGTACACCTTCACTTTTATTATCATTAAATAGCATGTGTGTAGCTATACTACAAAAATCTGCATGGAAAGTAGCTTAGAGAGGCAAGGTGATTCTAAGGCTTTCAATGGTAGATAAGTGCAGTTAGAAGTAGAGGTATGCAGCAACTCAGATTTCACTGGGGAGATGATTTGCTTACTTTTACTCAGCAGTTTTCATATGGCTGATGTCTTGATCATCAGCTGTACTAATTGTATTCTTTCTCATCAGAAGTTCTCTCTCGTTGAAAGTAGCATAGACAGAATGAAACTAAACTGAGAAGAAAAAAAAATTACTTGTCGTGCAATAACTGCCTTCATGACCTTAGAAAACCCTCATGACTGAGTTTCTACACTGACAAGAAGTTTGTGGTTTTCCCTTGTACCCATTTTTATACTGTTGCAGGTATACATGAATGACATTAAAGAGTGATTTCTATTTCCTTTTCATGCTGTCACCAGCACTGGAGAGCATTTAACTGTGACCTGAATTTTAAACACTAGCAAGTTGAATAATAATTCATACAATACTGAAAGCATGCGCAGAAAATTTGGCAGCTTTAAATACAAGCCAATATAAAGAACTACATACAATGCTTCTATTGCTTTCTCTTCTTACTTCCCCCCACTAAGTTCCATTAAAAGACAGAAAAAAATAGTATCTCTATAGTACTGTTCCATCACAGCAAGTACTAATGCTGCAGACATACTTTTTTGTAAGGACTCTCAAGAACAAAGCACAATGTTGTGATTACAAAAGCCAGAAAAGTACTGGGGTAAAAAAACTGCTAAGTTGTAAATGGAAAATCCACCACCCTACTTGCCTACACTGCAAGGAGAGAGCAGCTGTCAGCAGTTCCTGGCAGGATATTAGTTGAATCTACATCCCATACTGAACTGCAATGCAAAATCCCAGAGCTGCTGACGAATACCGGTCTGCAAGTCAGTACAGCCTGATTGATCAGCAGTCCTGCACTGCAGTATAGTAGGTATGCTATTGCATGAACACGAAATTATATCCCTGTACAATGCTTGATGTCGCTATACTAGATATGCATATCCCTGTACAATGCTTGATGTCGCTATACTAGATATGCGAGACTGCAGAAGTTGAAAAAGATAAAATCTTGACTATGCTGCCTGGCTTTCACATCTAGTGCAGCAAAATAGTGGGACTCACAGAGCCATTGCATCCTCTCCATGTGTAGCTGCAGTACAGAAAGCATAAACTGGTTGCAAAATTAACTCTGCTCATGCAATCTCAGTGATAGCATAGATGGCGCAAATCATGCACAGCTGCTCTCCAGGTTCAAGTGGAAGATGAAGATAAGGAGGCATATTTTGATTGTCCCCATTTTCACTATTTTCCTAGACAAGGAAAGGAAGTGATAATTGTATTCAATAGGAAGTATTTTTGTAAAACAATTTAAGTCTTTTCTTTTTTCTTCTACAGATCATGTTGTGTGTGAAGAGGAATTCAAATATGCTATGCTAGCTCTAAATTGTATATGCCCAGCTACCTCTACATTAATCACACTTCTGGTTCATACATCTAGAGGACAGTAAGTATATAATACTATTAAGATACCAACCAACCAAAAAGCCCAAACCAAAAACTTGTGAAAGAATCATGATGAAATACATCTTTCATCTCTCTAGCTTTCATTGTCTGACAGAACACAGAGCCTCTTTTAGTTCTTTCATATTATATATACGTTAAAGAAGAGTAGTATTCTTAACAGCTAAAAAAATGTACAGATTTAAAAAGGTACATAATATTGAAACTGATAGGATTTTTCTTGCCCTTTTATTCTGTATATCTTTTTAAAATACCTTGGAAATGCTGGAAGATGTTCTCAAAATCCTAACTGAACTGTGATTTTAATTTTTCACTAAGTTTTGTACAAGTGCATGAATCTGTTCATTGTATGATAAAAGTCACCAAGTCAGGCATTCAAAATTAGGAAATGAAGACAAAGCTGTTTTTTTCCTAGATTGCTCTGATCCTATTAAAAACACCCTACTGACTGTGCTACTGAAAGCATTAACTAATGTACTTGAGCTTACTGTTTGCTTAGAACTGTTAGGTAGTCCATCTTTAATCTAGAAGTTTCATGTCTATGAAAACTTAAGTTTAGATGATCTGTAACACGTACACATTCAACCATTGATTTTTAATGAGTATTTGATTCTTGAATGTAATATGCTAAATGCAAAGGACAAAAAAAAAAAATAAATTAAAAAAATCACACAATTGAAAAATCGTAAAATATTTAAATATGTTAAAATAACTTCTCTCCAGAATTACCACTTCAATGTCCCAGTTTTCTTACATTTATTTTACTTTTACTCATACTTTTTATGTGTGATACCATAATTGAGTTAAACACTTGATAACTGAAAGAAATTCATACCTAGATAGAGGTATAAATCTTACATTCAGAAGTACTATACTGGGAAAAATTATTTTCAAATCCAGAAATTTACTTTCAAACTTTCTGATTGAGTATACACTATTTTTTAGAGAAAAAAAATTCCTTTTCAACCAATATTCTTCATAAGCATCTCCAAAGATTTGCACTGACTCTAGAGTGTTTGAACTTTGTTGGTAAAAAAAAAAAGGTTCGGCACTTTATTATTTTCAAGGGGAAATCTGGTTTCAAAATAGGCATTTGTTTTGAGCATCTATAGGTTGTCACTGTACTGCAGCCATCAAACTGCTTTGGATTTGACTAATTTATAAATCGGGGGTTTTAAATTCTTTTCTAGATAAATTCTAATGTTGAACAATAGGTAAATAACTGCTACATACAAATATGTCAGATGAACATTTGAGTTTGGCTAAGTGTAAGAAAAAAGTGAAAATGGATTAGCTAAGCTACAAATAAAAATGTTAACTATACATGCATTTATATCCAAACAAAATACTAAAATATGTCTAAATAATGGTGAAATTTGTTAAGTAGACTTCCAACATTAACAATGAACTGCTTTCCTTTACATATTTACCTATTTCATTATCCTTTATTCTGATTATTACCAGCACCTATATTAAATTTTATGTAGGTATTGAGTTTTAAATCCCTGTCAGTATTTGGCTTCATTATATAAAATAATAGACTTTGTGACATTCATCTTAATAGAATTAAAATGTTTATTGGCAGTTCATTGGTAAATCATTGTCCCAGCTGTTTGTTATACTTTTACAAATGAAGTGCCACCTACTCCACAGGGAATCTATTTCCCCTATTTATTAAGAAATAGTGTTGACATTGTTAACAGTGCCAGCTCATTTCTGATATTCATGAAGATCAGTATGCTGGGAAATCACTGGAAGTTGAAGGCAATACATACCTGCAAAACACAGGGAAAAATATTATTCCCTATTATCCTAACTAGAATGATAATACAACAGTAAGTGAAAAGAAACATATGTACATACATTGAAAAGAACTTATCTTCTAGTATTACTGTTTGAAGAAACTGGAGAAAAATGTTCATTTTCTAAGCAACTTCGGCCAGATCAACCTGCTATTAAAATTGGGGAAGTTTGCTGCTGTTTATATGAGCTGACTTTGGTCTTTAATGCTATTTTTCAGATTAAAGAAACCTGGTGTAAATAATCCCATTGTCTTCTCAGCTTTTTGTCTGTAAGACACAAAAATTCTACCTTGAATCTTAATTATAATCTTATTATTGATCTTTAAATGTTATCTAATTATCTAATCAAGTAATAGAACTTCCTTAGGGTTTATATTGTGATACAAAATATTGGAAGAAAATAGCCTTTCTGACTTGAAACTTAATGTGGTCTTTACAGAACAGCTCCATGGGAAGCTTTTAGACAACTAACTGGAACCAAGCAGACTTTAAACAGGTGAACATTTTATTTTAGAGGGAAAAGTGAAATATGGAAAATTTTTCTCCTGTAATTACATTTCTAGCTCTCTTATTCTGCACCTAGAGCACTGTTTGTTAATACTGTTGCAATAAGAATGGTTTTCTTAGTTCAATCTTGAAACAAAATATTTCTCCATTGAGGGCAGAGAAGAATGTTAAACTGAAGAAAAACAGGAACTGTGCTAAGATATTAAAAAGTATAAATAAGCACAAAGAAGCATGTTCCAGTATCTTGAGACACTAGCTCCAAGTGGCAAAATGCAGCACATGTATGATTTTTATTTACTATCTGCACGTATACATATATATATTTATGCATCCATTATATCCATTAAAAATGCAGCCAGAACCTTGTTTGCACATGAAAGTTAAGAATTCACAGAAGCCTCAGCTCTGCAACTCTTGGTGTTAGCTGAGGTTTGGAACATTAACACTAATGGTCCATACAGTAAAGTATGATATGCTTAATATCATACAATAAAGGATGATATGCTTAATATGGTTAAAGTTATAATTTATTTTCTTACACTTGAGAAAAGAAGGTGTATACTTACCATAATATATAAGGCACAGTAACTAAAAATGTCCATTGGGTAAATGCTGAAGATTATCAAGAAGCAAATGTAGAAAAAAATATTTCTTGCAGATAAAGTGACTAAAGTCAAATGGGTCTTTCCTAGTAAGCGATTTTTAATGACTCTTTACCTACTTCTGACAAGAACTACACAATCTGCCATGAAACATCTGAAGTGATGGTATGAATTTTAAGGGATGTAGCCATATTTTTTTTGTGATATTAAGGTGCATAATCTTATATGCCTATTAGAAAATGTCTAATTCCTTAAAATAATCTCTGTACATGCATCATTACTAAGCTTTGATCTTAAATACTTTTCAGATTAGCCTATAGGATCCTTCTAATAAATATTTGTAGTTTCTATTACCATAAATTACTGTTCTGATTTATAATAATTTTACATTAAGTTTTAAATTATTCTGTTTGTACATGTTTCAGGGAGAGTCAGCAATCATCGGAACAATGGCAGAAAATGTATGGCAGATGCTCTGGTAATGAAGTGCATCATATTAACCTGGAAGAAAGTACTTTTTTTGCTGAATATGAGGGGAAAAGCTTCACATATGCTTCTTTCCATGCTCATAAAAAGTATGTTTATTTTCCTATCAACAGTTAAAAGTCTAAACAAATGCTTATTCTTTTGCCTACATTATAGCTCCGTATTCAAAGATGCAGTATTACACATTGCTCTGTTTCTAGGTTGAAGTATCTGGCCACTAATATATTTTGCTGATATTTTTCTGGAAGTTATAGTTGGTCAGGTAAAAGCTCATGCTGGTTTGGTGTAGGCCAGCTCAGTCTGAAAGAAAAGAATATAAAGGATATACAGGATAAGCCTGGCAACCAGGAAAAAGAAAATTCACACCTTAGAAAGAACACCGGTCCCTTTCGATGTCCAAAACAATCTACAAAAGGGTGTGTGGCTGTCAGCGTATTTAATGTATTTAAGAGTCAGCTGGAAATCTAGCTTCCTTCTATCATGTTCATCTTATGTGAAATGCTCATTTTAAAGGTGGTATGTGCTACATTCTGGTAATTGTTCAAAACAAAACCGTATTTTTTTCTATTAGGTGCTAACATACCTTCTTTAGGTTCCAGATCATGCATCACTTATTCAGTACTGCTCTGTGAGGTGAACATGCAAACTGAACACAAGTTGTGTATATATTTGTATATATTTAACAAAATGAATATTGAGCAAATACTGAACACTGATTTTATTCTCATACTCAAGTGAAATTTTTTTTCTGCTTTAGTACCTTATTTTCTATCATTAACCAAATACTTTTCTAGGAGTGAATTGCAAAAAGGAATTCCAAAAATTGTTTCCATTACATATGAATAATGGAAGCATTTAATGTGATGAATACTTTTTAATGTTATATATCAATTCTTCACTAATATTTTCCCAGAAGGGACTATTCATCTGATAGGAAAAAGAAATAAAAATCAGCTGTCACAGCATTAAAAGAATATTATTCGGATCAATAAAAATTCTGGATTCAAATGCATAGGGGTTCATGAGTTCATAAACACTGCTTGATCAGAAGTGGTCTGTATGGGAGACAAAATTTTTCAAACATTTGTCATCCAAAAATCTGCAAATGTTGATATTCTGCAAAAGTGTACTAGGGGTTTATTTTTAACAGTGGAAATTCTCGTGTATATGACCTATGCAAAATGAACCATGCCTTTCCTTTTCTAATTAAGGTTTGGAGTCTGTCTGATTGGTGTTAGAAAGGAAGATAACAAAAACATTTTGCTGAATCCAGGTCCTCGATATATCATGAGTTCTACAGATACATGCTTCTACATAAATATCACCAAAGAAGAGAATTCTGCTTTTAAGAAGCAAGAAAAACATAGAAAAAAACATGAATCAAAATTGTCTTATCATGGAACTTCTAGATTACCTGTACACAGTATAATAGCCAGCATGGGTAAGTGAAAACAAAAAACAAACCCACAACATATTCAATTAATAATGCATTTTAAAGCTTTTAATAGTGTGTTCCTAAAATTTTGAGCAATTAAAATATTGTGCAGAAAGAAAAAATATTAAACATTTGCCCTTGTATTTAAATTAATGAAAATCAATTAAACTGGAATTAAACTGCTGAAGACTTGCATGAAAAAGTAATAATAATTACAGGGTAATTTGTTAGTCATTCACAACTGGTTGCTTGTAATAAGTTTTCATAAGCTGCTTTTATTAAAAAAAATGCTTTTCTCAATAAATTCATACAGGTTGTTGATGCATATAAATATGGATTATTTATATACAATATGATTTTGACAAGGTAGCTAACAAGAAAATATATACCAGTGACAGAAAAAACACATCAAGAAAATGCTTTCTATGCTACTACAGGAACAGTGGCTATTGATTTACAAGACACAGGATGCAGAACATCCAGTGGACCAACGCTAGCTCTTCCTTCTGAGGGAGGGAGAGAGGGCAGACGGCCCAGTATAGCACCTGTTTTGGAGGTTGCAGACTCATCCTCACTTCAGACATGTGACTTGCTAAGTGACCAGTCAGAAGATGAAACTACCCCATCAGATGAAGAAGCCTCTGCAGGCTTAGAGTACGTATATTGAATATAAATTAAACACCGTAATTTGAAAAGCCAGTATTATGTAAATGGCATCGATGAGTTTTTGACATGCAGATCGATCCACACAGCTGTAGCAAGCAAGACCCATAAAGGCCAATTATGGAATTGTTCCCTTTTATGAAATGCTATTGTCTGTTAGCAAAACGCTGTTATGCCTATTTTGAAATTCAAAAAAACCCAAAACAGATTACTTCCTTTGTTTGGAGATATTCCATATTCAGTTATAAAGATCTAGTTGTGTATTGCAATTTTTAATAATTTTTATGACCATTTCTCTTACATTCTGTAGTTATAAATGCAGGATTCTACTAGCTTGTAAACAGATAAGTACTTTTGTCCTGAAATTGCAGTGATCATTCAAAAGGCTTGTTGAATCCTCAGGCTAGGTGTCTGAGTTCAAAATGTAGGAATAACAAAAAAAAACAGTATGAGGCAAATTATTGCATCTAATTTAAAGTGGTTGTTAACGTGTTACTGAAAGTAATGATGCATTACTCAGATAAAAATGGAAGAGACAATCCTGTAGCTGCCATGCAGATAAGCAATTATGTTTATTGGGATTACTGACAGGATGTTAAAACTGCAACGGACAATTAAACTAGTGGCTCACCTGGCACAGTTTCCCATCAGTGGCAAGCATGAGAATCCCCAGGGAAAATCATAAAACTCCAGTGAAACATAACAGAACAAGTAATCTTAAACCTGCCAACTGAAATACTGGGGCTTAAAAGGCCTCTTGTTAAACATTAAGGCCAATTACAAATTTCATCTTATCAGCAACAGGATTTGCCATTTAAAATTCATTCCAACCATGTTGAAGGTATGTTACTAAACAAGAAGGTAATGACTTCACTCAATCTTGAAAAGTGTTTGGAAGAAAAATAGAGAAAGAAAAAGTACCAGAATTATCTCCATTTTCTTGCTTCGCTTTTTTAACTTCCGTCGAAGTTTCTGGTACTTCGAATCATTCAATTGTTTGGGTCGGAAGGGGCCTTCAAGATCATCTCATTCCAACCTCGCTGCCATGGGCAGGGACACCTTCCACTAGACCAGGTTGCTCAAAAGCCCCGTCCAGCCTGGCCTTGAACACTGCCAGGGATGGGGGCAGCCACAGCTTCTCTAGTCAACCTGTTCCAGTGTCTTACTACCCTTACTGTAAAGAAGCAAGATATCATATATATTGTATTTTGTATATATATATCTCATACCTATATATATGCATCGATATAGTGCATATGTCTACTCTTACCCTCTTTCAATTTAAAAAAACTACCCCTTGTCTTATCCCTACATGCCTTTGCAAAATGTCTTTCTCCAGATTTCTTGTAGGCCCCCTTTAGGCCCTGGAAGCTGCTGTAAGGTCTCCCTGGAGTCTTGTCTTCTCCAGACTGAACAAGTCCAGCTCTCACAGCACGTCTTTATAGAGAGGTGCTCCAGCCCTCTGATTGTCTCTGTGGCCCTCCTTCTGGACTCACTCCAACACATCCGTGTCTTTCTTCTGATGGAGACCCCAGAGCTGAATGCATTACATACTCGCAAAACACTAGGACAGCACACTATTATGTCAGCGCATTTCCAAAAACACCTATAAAAAAACCAACAACAAACCAACAAATGAACAACCCAAGCAAAATTCCTTTAGTTCACAAAAATCATGAGAGTTTTCACTCGACATTATTGAATTGGTTGAAGCTACAAAACACATTCCTTTGATCCTTATTCAAGACAGTTCATGTACTTGATTCTACAGACTGCAGAGTCTACAGATAACTGCAAAATTCAGGCATACATAAAACCTCCCATAAAATAGGTGTATAGGAGATTGTGTTTTGGTGATTTGCTATACTGAAAAATGTTTGTTCTCTTCTCGTAGGTATGTCAAAGGCTATCCTCCTTACTCTCCGTATATTGGAAGTTCTCCCACATTTTGTCATCTTCTGCATGAAAAAGTACCCTTCTGTTGTCTCAGATTAGATAAGGTAAAAGGAGTTTCTCTCATTGGATAAAACTGCATTCTCATTTTTATCTTTCATCTGAACAGAGTTAAATTCTGCTTTCTGCTTAGAGATTAGGTTTGTTCAGCATTTACTAAGCTATAATGTCTTATCATCCTTTTCATCGCTAATCATTTGTTTATGCCTAATGAGGTCCATATCAGGCCATCTGATAAAATTTTCTGTTTCTAATGGTAAAATTCTTTAATGTCGCAGCTAAATCTCTTTATTCTCTTCAGCTTGGAGAAGAGAAGGAGAAGAGACCTCATAGCTGCCTTCTAGTACCTGAAGGAGGCCTACAAGGATGCTGGAAGGGACTCTTCATCATGGACTGTAGTGATAGGACAAGGGGCAATGGGTCTAAACTTAAACAGGGAAGTTCACGTTAGATATAAGGAAGAAGTTCTTTACTATGAAGGTGGTGAGGCACTGGAACAGGTTGCCCAAATAAGTAGTAAACGATCCATCCCTGGCAGTGTTCAAGGCCAGTTTGGACAGAGATTTGGACAACATGGTCTAGAGTGAGAAGTCCCTACCCATGGCAGGGGGGGTTGGAACTAGATGATCTTAAGGTCCTTTCAAACCCAAACCATTCTATGATTCTGTGATTAATATCCACTGAACTTGTTTCTTATTTTGATTTTAGGGATGCCAGCATAACTACTATGAGGATGCCAAAGCCTATGGATTCAAAAATAAATTGATTATAGTTGCAGCAGAAACTGCTGGAAATGGTTTATATAACTTTATTGTTCCACTCAGAGCTTATTACCGACCAAAGAAGGAACTAAATCCCATTGTATTACTCCTGGATAACCCGTAAGTAGATTTTAATTTATTTTTTTGTGTGGCACAGTTTAAACTCATTTTACCATTATTTCAAGAAGCAATCACTTTTAACATAACTAACTTAAAATAAAAAACATTAAGGTGTATTTATCTTTGAGAAAAATCTGTGACAAAAATAATACCCTATGTTTACTGTCATATACAAAATTGACTTTTTACTGACTGCACATGGCCTTAGTGAATTTATATGTCCTTACTCTATGGCCCATGTTGCAGCTAAGTTTTTCTTAAAAATACTCTAAATAATGCGAATACTACTGCTAAACACTGTGAAATAAACACTGTAAAAAGCAAGGTGTGTAGCAGTTTCTCAAATACATGACAGCACTTCAGACAACACTAACCTGCTTAACAGAAAGCAGTTAGTGGCCTGGACCACTTAGATATCTTTTTAATGATTTTAGACTGCAAGATAAACAGTTCTTTAATCCAGCAGGACACCCACTCAGTCTATGATTGTATAGTCATGGAAGAAACCTGCAATGTTGTCGTTACTACTGTATCTGTCTGGAGATCACTGGGATTTTTAGCCTTTCTTGTATTAGCTGTTTAAAATTTCAGACAAATTCTCCCCTGCAAGGCAAGACCGATTCATCTCTGATCTGACAATGAACGAGACTTTTTTTGCAACACTTTGGTACTGTTCATGTACTTCAAAATCACGATTTGGGAGACATGAAAATAGAGGTTAGCCATATACAGGAAATTAGATCAAGCTATGACTCAAAGAAAGGACAGCAGATAAATGACTTACAGGTTCTGGTTCCAAGCTGACACTTCGCTTTGCATATGCGTGTTCTAGTTTAAGTGTTTTATTATACAAAAGCCTGCTGTGAAGTGTTCTACTTTGGCCTGAGACAGCTCTTTAATGAAGCTTTATACACCTCTTTGCAAAACAGAAGCTTTTTTATGTACATGTTATGGCATAAGGTGAATTACAAAATTGGTAAAAGCCTAAACTAGGGTAAAGGAATTCCGATTCACAACTTTCTTAAGATTAAAGATGTGAGTATGCAGTGCCCTCTGGTGCTTACTCTGTTTTCCAGCATAGTGCCCGGGTTTGCATCCTTCAGTGTTGTTGTGACATTTTATGGCTAAACCCACTTTTTATTAGCATAAAGTAAAAGCTATGGTTGCTGATTAAGATAATATCCTTAGCATTTTATCTCTCTACACAACATTTGCAGCAATTCCTCTGAAATTAATTAATGGGACTACAGAAGCTATCTGAAAAGCCAGCATGCTTTTCATGTATGCATGAAGAAGATTCAGGCCCCATTCAAGACAATTAGAATTTTGTAATTTACATAATTGGCCTTAGGAATTCAGCCACCTTCAATTAACATATCTTTGCCTTGTTGTTATATCCCTAGTTTCTCAGTATGTCAGGGCAATTTATTACAGTATGTTTACTCTGATATCTACACATCACGTGTTCTGAAATTTCTGATGTTTCTTGGTATGCAAGAAAAAAAGTAAAATTTATGATTCAAAACCCAGTGCAATAAAATACAGTATCTTGGTTTTCACAGTCCATTTTAAAAATGTTTCATCTAAGTTTGTCTCATTGGCTTGAATGGAGTGTTTGGCACAAAATACAAATGGTGACTGGGTTTCTGCTTCACATTTTAATTGAAAAGTCTCACTGCTTATTTTAAATACTCCTAAGTCATACATTGGAGTATAACTTGATAGTGTGTCTTTGAAAACAGTCATTCCTTCTTATTTTTAGAATTGTGCTGTGCCATAAAATTTATGATTTAAAAGATGAATTTATTAATATAAGCATTCTATTTCCTGTTTAAAGTGATATTATAATTGAAAAGTTTTGGGTTTGTTTTGGGGTTTTTATTATTTTTTAAAAAGCTACCAGTTTATTGAAATATTTTAGAAAAGATGCTGCAGTTGTGATACTGTCTTTCATTTTGTAATCCCATCTGCTGCTTAGGCCAGATATGCATTTTCTGGATGCAATCTGTTGGTTTCCAATGGTTTACTACATGGTGGGCTCTATCGACAAGTAGGTGAAATAACTGTTAGAAAACTTAACGTTGTAGTACTCAGTGGTTTTCTGTGTGTATCGTCATTGCATGTTTAAACGTCTGTTGTATTTGAAAATGATCTGTTTGCATGCATGGTTTGTGTCTGTGTGCTATAATTTGGGATTTCAAATTTCTGACTTGCAAATCATTAGTGAAAAGTGTGACAGGGAATGCAGGTTAATATTGTCATGGTTTAAAGCCAGCTGGGAGCTAAGTACCAAATAGCTGTTTGCTCACCTCTGTCCTTTTCCCACAGGTAGGGTGGGGAGGAGAGTCAAAAGAATGTAAAACCTTCAGGTTAAGACAAGAACAGTTTAAAACTAAAATACAAAATGCTACTACTAATAACAATAAAGGAAATAACAAGGGGAGAGAATATAAAGCTAAAAGGGGATAGAAAAAAACAAACACAAGTGATGCACAATACAGTTGCTCACCACCCAATACCCAGCCTGACCTGAGCAGCAATGTGGCCCTTCCAGGCAACTCTCCCTAATTTATATACTGGGTATGACATGCTGTGGTATGGAATACCCCTTTGCCTAGTTTGGGCCAGGTGTCCTATCTCTTTTTCCTCCTGGCTTCTTGTGCCCTTCCTCACTGGCAGAGCATGAGAGACTGAAAAGTCCGATCAGGATAAGCAGTACTGAGCAGCAACTAAAACATCAGTGTGTTGTCAGCATTGTTCTCATACTAAAGCCAAAACACCACGTACTAGAAGAAAAAAAATAACTGTTATAGCTGAATCCAGGACAATGTTTTTAAAAAACATAAGATTAAGACTTATTTAGGCGCATTAATAAGTTTCTGCAAATTGCCAGATTCTAGTGTCATTCTATACTTAGATACAATTTGTCTAGGTTTACTGACTAGGGTTTTGTAAAGATAGCTACAAAATGTAGACAGTCTTCATTGTGTCTAACAGTCACCTTCTGGTACTTAAAATATCACCTACCCTTACATTTGTCTTCACATTTGCTAATATATACTTGCATATCTAGCTTTAGCAACATAGATTTAATGTAAAAATCAGGCAGAAACAATGGAAGAGCAAGGATTCATGAGCATTTGAGTAAACTCCTGTATTGCCAAGTCCATTTAAAGAAGAAAATGGTTTGCTTCACTACATACCTAATATTAAGTCAGGGCTACAACCTCATAATAATCAATCCCCAGGTGGAAAAAAACCCTCACCTTATTTCCTACCCTAAATTAACAGAATCCAGTTTTTCTGGATTCTGAAGAGTCAATGTTTCTCCAACTCGTATTGCACAGATTTCAGAGTTGTATGGGAGTCTATTGGCTATTAAGAAACCTATACTTAAAGGTACTTTAAAACTAGAATAACAATACTTCTAAAGCAGCACTTTCTAAATTTTCCACAAATTAGCTAAATTTACCTGCTAAAATAAGAAAAGCTTTTGAGCTTGTGAAACATTGAAATGCAAATAATCTGGATATTTCAGAATATGCTGTTATTTTCAGGGATCAACTGATATTACAGTTTGCCAAATGTGAAGGAACTGTAATGGCAGAACAGCTTTTCACCATGGATGTAAACAGAACACTGAAAAAACTCAGTTTTCCAATTCCCCCTTGGAAACCATGACATTCACCCTTTCTCATTCTCACTTGCTTAAAAATGGCTAAGCTCCTAGCATTTGTCTTCATCACAGAAAAGTCCTTTCTAATCTTTTCTAATATTACTTTGTTTCTATGGAAAATATTATTGTTAAAACAACTGACACATGCTTCATTTTGGAAACAAAGCTACAAGGCATGATGAGAACTCAGTTGTTTGTATTTCCTATTCTCAGGCTTTATGGGAAACACCATCCAACAAACAGCATGCAAGGCTTTACTGATGTACATCTGCTCTAAAAGCATCATGAGAACACTCCAACTCTTAGATTAACCTTAAAGAGGAATATGTGAGATGTCCTGACAGAACTTTTAATAGCATTTTGAAAATGAAGTATTATAGAATATGAAGTATTAATTGAAAATGAAGTATTATAGAATACGAAGTATTAATGGAAAATGAAGTAACTGTGGGAAAGAGCAACCCATAACATTTATCTGGGTCTGTTTATTGCCAAAAGTAACTGCAATGAAGCAAGTTGTTGCAGCATGCAGGGACATACTGTTTTCCCAAGTAATCATTAACGGCTTATTTTAAGAAGTTGAAATAAACGTATCATTTTGGCAAAAGGAGAGGGACTATAACAACCCACTGAAGTGCATTATGTATGACTTAGAGGAGAATAATCATTCATATCCTATTTCATGAATTGAGATTATATTCTCAACATAGATTGTATTGGAAATTATGATATGCACATGGAGATGAAGGGAACCAGCAACTCACACCTGTGATCTGCAAATTACAGCCATCGCCAGTCTTTTAAGTGTTCCATATTTAAGTTGCTTGTTTCTTTCTCCCTCTTTCTCTCCACAAAAGCCTAGATGATTTACTAAGATGTGGGGTCACATTTGCAGCTAATATGGTGGTGGTGGACAAAGAAAGTACAATGAGTGCTGAGGAAGACTACATGGCAGATGCTAAGACTATTGTAAATGTTCAAACACTCTTTAGGTAAGATATTTTTGCAATTTATCTGTGTATCCTCATTAACTGTGAAATATCTAGTGCCTTTTGTACTCCTATTAGAAATGACATCTTTTCCTCTTTTCTTCTATTTAATTTTTCCCATATATGAATTAGTGTCTTACATGGGCAGACTTTTTCCTAACCTGCTTAGCAATATACTCAGAATCCTAAGGTATTCTCCTGAAATTCTATGCATCCCAAAACTCAATGATCATTTAAAAAGTCAACTGTCAGGTTTGCAGGAAGCAAAAGAAAACTACTCTTGAAGACTTAGGACCCAAGATAGTTGAGAACAGAAATTTTTCCTCAGTGCAGCAGTCTTTCACAGTAATGCTAAAGCCAGTATGAAAAGCAGATCCTTCTAATGATAAAAGGTAAGCAATTCATCACTGTGAAGTTAATAGTAACTGGTCACATTTTAAATGTTTAGTTTTGAACAAAACTTAAGATTTTAGGCACATGTATGCAACAGTATGTAAGACAACTATGTACTAAGGGTCATGAAGGAATAACTGATTTGAGTGAAAAAATTGCCAGTCTTGTGAAGAGGCTGAGAAGGCAGTGCTGTGAAGAACTACTAAACACACTGAGATTTCCTGTTCATCTGAGAACCACCCCTGATTAAAGCCTCATTTTGTGTTAAATACCTTGATTTCACAAATAGTAAAAGATATGCGTCCCTTTAAACTGTGAAAAAAAACCTTATTTGCTTAAAAATACCCCAACCAAGTAGACAAGAAAAACCCACACACAAAACACATCACACAGTCAGGTATGAAATGCCTCCTTGATTTTGGGCTTAGGCCTAGCACTTCCTGCTGTTCACTCTAGTTAAGACCTGGACAAAATTAAGTCCTTCCCTGGAGGATTCAGTATCATTCAATATTGCTCCCCTTTTCTATGTCAAGTCTTCCATATAAGGCTGGAGAAAAGTGCATAGTTGAAGTCTCTTGAATCTGTATTTCAGAAAATAAGCTCATTAAAAGACAAGTATTTCAATGACTTTTTTAATGCAATCATGCAAGAATGCAGTTAACTGCTGTTAGCACTTCTGCATGTGCTCAGAAACAGCAAAAACTGTGTTGCACAAGTTCTCTCTTTTTCTAACTTTCAGGTTTTGAATTTCTGCCCAATACTAGCATGGGTGTATCTCATAATCACACCTAAATTTAATTTAGAAGCTATAATTGAATTTAATGTGTGCATCACCCAAGTCTGCTCTTAACCATATTGTGTTAGGATATCTCACTGAGGTTTTGATGTGTATCACTTAAATTTTTCAGAAATACATTTTACCCCCAAATATAAAAAATAACAAAAAATTGAGTTGAATGGAAAAAAAAAAAGCGCCACCTTAGAAAGTGCCAGTTGTTTTTTTCCCATGATTGTGTTCTACTTTGTAAAACACTAAAAGATAGTAACACAAGTAGATTACATACTATAGATATCCAACTAGAATTTACTAATAATTAAGTTGTCTTGCACAATGCTTACAACTAGATGGCAGAGTTAACTCATGTCCAAACTGTATATCTGGTTCAGTATGTTTTTAGTACTGCATGGTACTTTTTAGAGATACCAGAAGAAATCAGAATAAATTTCTTAGTTTAAGACACAGCACTACTTTTCTCCCTAGCTTTTCTCCTTAGGACATGAATAATAATTTCACTGCATTTTTATAGGGTGTAAAGTTGTAGAAATAAGTAAGCTTTGGGAAGAAGCCTCAGGTAATAGCATTTACCTCCTCTACAAAATAGACTACGTTCATTGCACCGAGGTAAATAGTTTTGCAGCTCAACTTTAAAAATGTGTTTAAAGGTTTTTTCATTACTTAATAATACATAATAGTGTCAGAGACTAATGAAGAGGAGGCTGGACTGTAATTTTAAAGGATTTTAAACCACTGCTAATATATGATGTTCTCAAAGTTAGTGCATCAGTGAAGCAGGTTCCACTTAATGTCACTAAGTTAAATCAGAAGAGAGAAGCTATTCTAAACCTCCCTAATTTGACTTGGATCAGCTGACCTCATTAGGGGCAGTAAACAGGCATGAAAAGGTGATTCAAGTGGGCTGAGGTACTGTTTGGCCTAGGTTCAGTTCAGTACTCAGATACCTGTTCTGACATTAGTCCCTTATTTACATAAATTAATAATCTTGCTTTGCCAGCAGAGTTTGTGTAACCCCACTTTAGAAGACAATGGATTGTTTATAACAACAAGGTTAGTAGCACTTTTACGGCTAGAAACTGTCCCATACCAATTAAAACTGTGACACAACACTAGCTTATCTGACTTAATTATACATAGAAGGAGTAAAGAAGTGTGACTCAAATGGTCACACTGACTAAGAGAAGATTTTTAATCCTCTGGATGGGAAAGAACAATTTATCATAGTTTAAAAGTACAAGGAGAAATTACTAGTTTTGGACTGTGTCCAAGAGATGCTTTTGATTTTTTTATATGAAATATGAAGCCAATCATTGAGTCTGTATTGACAGCTGTAAATCCACTTCAGAAAAATAGTGGGTGCTCTCAGGCAGTAGGTCTATACTAGGGGTGTTTATATATTTACTCTTGCTTTCTATTAATTAATAGGTTTAAATGTTAGTGTTCAGGAGGCTCTGTTTTTAATAGCTAACATCTTGAAGACTATGTTTCAAATACTTCAAGAAGCCTGTTGACAGCAGGACATGTATCGAGTCAATAGTCTGGCTGATACCTAGCAGTCAGCACCATATTGTAGATAAAGCAAATGAGGTTTTACAATGGTATTAAATTGTTTTCTTGGTTTATCTTTTTGGTTCAGGAAAGAATTAAATGTATCTCTTGCTAGTCTTATTCCCAAATACCAGATCAACAGCAATCCATGTCTTCATCAGGCTGCTGAGGGCTTTCTGCACCCTGTCCAGTCCTTTTCACTAGCATGGGATAGAAAAGAGGAATAAAAAGAGGTATCTTAGCCTGCTCCAGTGCTGAAAGCTTGTGGACAGCATGCCTTACAGTCAGGGCAAGAGGCAATCTGGACTTCATTGCCTGGAAAGTCATTTTCCCCTGATTCTGCTAAAAGGCATTGATAAGTAAAATATGTATTTAGCTAAGACCAGGTTTGAAACTGATTTCCTAGCATAAATCAGGTTTTATATCTGGTAACAAACTAAACCCATCTTTAACAAAAACCTGGTAATCTGCATTTTTTCCTGCAACTTTGGTATGTTTTGTTGTTAGATCAGCTTTTAATTTCCTATTGTTCTTAGTTCTGGGTGTTATATTGCTAGTTTTCAAATATGAATGGCTGTCCTTTAATACAGCAATACAAGAAAATTTCCAGCCAGCAGAAGCTTAAGTATTTCTATGCTGCATGATACAGAATTAACAGAAGAAATTCATATTCTCCTTCCTCAGAACTTTAACACATTTGTTAAGCTACTTAATATGTACAAGTTCATACGTTCAATTGTGATATTACCAGGACTTTTTTTTCACCCAGTTTTTATGAGCACTTCACAGGCTTTTACAAAACACATCACACAAGTGAAGATGTACCACAGTTGCATCTCAAGTGTATGGTTATGTATTTAATCTATGCACATAGACACCATTCCCTAAGTGCCTAATCTTTAGTAGGACGTAAGTAGACTTTGTATAACAATACTGCACCACTCAAAGTTTGTATCAAAGTCTGAATGTAAGAGTTAAAAAGGCACAGAAATTCCTGAGCATGCACAGTGCCTTTCAAACTGCAGCATACTCAAGTGGTTATTGTTAAGTGATCCACACGCTCTCCCAGTTCACCAATTCCATTTGTCCTTGTATGTTCATACCTAATACTTGGTTATTCAGTGATATAACTGCTAACAAAAGAAGGGCTAGCATTTTTACCGTCACGTGTTCAGGACGTGTTTGGAATCATGTGATCATTACCAGTCTGCATTTTGGCATTGAGAGATTTAGGAAACTGTATTGCAATAATATGGTATTAACACATACTGGCAGATAGTTTTGACATACGTTTCCCCACATTTAGGCTCTGCTTGAATTGCCATTTCAGTGAAGTTCCTCCTTACAAAAATGAGGGGAAAAGACTAAAGACTTGCAAAAAAGGTACATTGGATTCCATTTGACACTAACTTACTAAATTCAGCTTTCAAGAAAACCACGTAATTTTTTTAACTGATTGAAGCCACATTAATGATGTCATTAGCACTACAATTATCTATTGTCACATGTAAATAAGTACTTTCAGGATCAGCAAAACAGATTACAAACGGATATCTCATTTTCTGACACTAATCTGTAGAGGAAATTCTCAAATGATAACCCAAGTTTTATCCCAAGTTGCTTAGTATAGCATAGCTTAAGACACACATTTATTTCTAGCTGTTAGAGCTCCGAGGGCTGAGGAAGGGGTCTTCAGTTTGCTTTGTGAAAATCTGTGTAATTCAGCCAGAACAGAGTTAAATTTTATTCACTGTCTTTTTTTTGTTACTGGAAGCCTGAAGTAGTGATAATTTATGAATATTCAGTGTATTTAAGTGTTTCAAAATGAGAACGTAAGTATACCTAAGCATACTTTTTCTCAGCAAGTCCCAAGAAGTGTCAATTTTCATCTGTGTTGCTCAGTCTATGGACACAGAGCATACAAACAAAACTACAAAATAAAAAAATCAAATGTAACAACTACATAAGGCAGTTCTAATAGTAGTTCATGTACAACCAGATAATAGGTGCAGGCCATAGAGTTTTGCATGTTTTTGTTATTTCCTACAGATTTGTGTCATTTTAGAAATTATTAAATAAAACCTCTGGTAATAAAATTAAGTGGTTCCTTTCTGACATTAAAATATGTTATAAGGTCAACATTTGAATCTATGTTTTCTTCTTTGTGAATGCTACAGAGAATGTTTTTTAGTTTCCTTTGCTATTTTGCCAGCATTCCCTTGTGCCAAAAAACACCACAGGTTTCAGGGACCTGATTAAAAACATGGGCACGAGTACAAGCTACAGCATTATGCCGAGCCTTACACTTGTGAATTGTTATAATCAGAAATCTGACTGTTACATTCTTTTAAAATATAGGTTGTTCTCAAGCCTAAGCATTATCACAGAACTAACTCACCCAGCCAATATGAGATTCATGCAGTTCAGAGCCAAAGACTGCTATTCTCTTGCACTATCCAAATTAGAAAAGGTAAGGAGATTTGCCTCCCCTGCCCCCAGTTTGAATGTTACCATTTTAACAGGATGTCGTGATCTTTTATTTATGTTCCTAGAAATTATCTATAATTTTCTTTAAGTAGCTATATCCCCTTCTTCGTTAATTCCAAAGTATGTCAGGGAAGGAGCGGCTGGGTACCACATTTATGAAATAAAACTGCTGGGACATTCTGGCACATTTCTGGCTTCTATATCTGCTTTATTTTCTGGGAAGCAAGTAATAAAACAGAGCTCAATGCAAAGTGCACAAGTAAAAACTATTTCTTGCAAATCTTCTTTAGGCAAGAATAAGGAAACTTGTAATAAGAGATAGAAAGAAACAATAAAATAAAATGAAAATAAAGGGAGAGAATAAATTTCTAAGCTTCCATTTTAAAATAAAACAAGTAGGAGCGGCCTTACGTTTATTATCAGAATTTTGGATAAGAGTCAGACAATTCCTCAAATATCTCTTGCTTTATCCCACACGTTTCTTGGCAGAAAAGCAGAATCTGCTGCAAATTTCTTTAAACAGATGGAAGGATAAACATATACCTGAGTCATATAATAGGACGATAGCCATTTCACAGCAAATCCCTATAAAATATTTTATGGCATGAACCTAAGGGGATTTAATGTAACATATGTTACAATATGAATGTAATTTTAATTTTGAAGACTTTGTTGTGAAACAAATCTCAGCATTTTTTCCATAATAGGCAAGTTTTTATTCTCAATAGGATCTGAAGAAAAATATCTTCCACTTTGTCTACTGCACTAAAAACACTCAAATACATGAGTCTGAGCTACAAAAGAAATACAAAGCTTCTTGTTTCTGTGGTGTACACCAGTAAGCACAGCAACATGCTTATCTAGTTGGAAGTGTTCTTTGTACAATTAGACTGCTTTCTTCAACTCAGAAGCACACAAGTTGCTAGAAACACCCCTTTGCTACTCAGGCATCAAAGCACACATGTATGCCTATACGTGCAAGAGCATGAGTGTGTGCTTATGTATGTATTTCTCATTGAGAAAAATCTCTAGTACAAGGCAGTAGTATTTGGTCAGAACAGATAGCGACTGTAATAAAAAAAAACCTGAAATAATAATTGTATTTTATTTCCTTAAAATTTTTGAAACCCCTTTAATGTCACCTCTGTCAATTTCTTTACTTTTTTTTTTAAAGACAGAATAATGGCATATTTTTAAGAGTTATTTGCTGTGTGTTTTTATCTGGAGAGTAAATTCTTTTTGTGTGACGTTGTTTTCAACTCCACTTATGTCAAGCCACAGAAGTCCCCAGGTACAACCAGACTATCCAGTGACAAATGGGTTAGAATACTGCTGTTCAACAAAACCATTAGCTAGAGCAGACTGCTCATTTGTGTATCACAGAATCAGAGCATGTTTAGGGATGGAAGGGACTACTGAATGACATCTTACCTAAGACCCCTTCTCAAGCAGGACCATCTAGGGGCAGTTGCCCAGGATGATGTCAAGAGGGCTTTTAACTGTTCCCAAAGAGGGAGAATCCTCAACCTCCCTGGGCAGGCTGTGCCAGTGCTCAGTCACTCTGACTGAGTAAAAATGGATCTCCTGACATTCAGAAGAAACTGACTGTTTCAGCTGTTGCGCACTGCCTCTTGTCCTGTCCCCTAGGCACCACTGAAAAGAGCCTAACTCTGTCTTCACTGCACCCCCTGTTCAGCTATTTTTACACATTGATGACATCATCCTAAGCCTACTCTTCTCTGGGCTAAACAGTCTCAGCTCTCCCTCAGTCAAGATCCCACATTCCCTTGATCATCTTAGTGGTGCTTGTCTGGACTATCTCCAGTAGCTCCCCCTCTCCTTTTACTGGGGAACCTAGAACTGGACACAGTACTCCAGGTGTGGCTTTAGTCTTAGTGAGTAGTGCAGAAGGATCACCTTCCTCAACATACTCTCAACACTCCTCCTAACTCAGTCCAGGACACCATTCACCACCTTTGCCAGAAAAGCACATTGCTGGCACATGTTCAACTTTTATGTTCAATAGGACCCCTGGCGTCTTCTCTGATGAGCTACTTGCCAGCCAGTCAGTCCCCAGCATGTATTACTGCAGATATGTGTTGGACATAAGTGTCTCAATTCCAACACATACTACATTTCTGCACTTTGAGAACACCTCTTCATGGCATCACTGAACTGGAAGCTTGGTATTACCCTTCCTCTTAAACTTAACAAACTTCCAACCTGTAGTTCTGCTCTCTGATAACTGAAGGAATAGGAAGCACATTGTGGTGGGATTTCTCTGCAAGTGAATTGTCATAAGGCATAACTATAGTTATGTTTAGTTATGTATATCCCTTCCCCAGAAGAATTAGAGCAGTAAGTTTCTACCCCAGATTCTGTTCATGTTTTGTGTTGCTAGTAACCTTTCTGACCTTAATGAGATTACACTGTCAGCACCAAGGAACCGGAGCAGGAATAACCAGAGCTTTGCTCTAAGCACCCTTGAAATTCATCCATCACTTTTAAAATTATTTGGTCGAATATGCCCATTCAATTTGAAATGTGATGACTGAAACAACGTATGCATTAAACAAAATCTTTTAACCTGAAAAACTGTAAGTACTGAACAAAGATGCTATATGTTTTCAAAAGAAACTGTATTCAGAGTAAAGAGATTTTACACCTTTGACCTCTTTCAAGGTAATATCAATTTGATGGTTTTTATTATTATTGTCCTTCCAAAACCAGCACTAGAAGTGTTTTCTATTTGTTTTTAATTTCTTAACAGAAAGAACGTGAGAAGGGATCTAATCTAGCATTTATGTTTCGACTGCCCTTCGCTGCTGGCAGAGTTTTCAGCATCAGTATGTTGGATACACTGCTTTATCAGGTACTATGCACGATAATGGAACTTGCCTTAACACAAACATGCAGTGTTACCACCTATTTTATTACATTTTATTGTTGTATTACCTTGTTTTCCTACATGTAAGCCATTAATGTACATGTCACTGCCAGGAATAATCAAAGGCAAAATACCATCAAGCATGTTCTAAAGACAGTACTAGCCCAGTTATGAACTCCCAAACACAAAACCCTGTCCTTGTGCAAGTTCTGTTGCTAAACAATATAATACTGTTTGTGAAACTCTCCATAGTCAGACAAGTAGGATGGTTTTGACAAGGACTACATAGGTTATACAGACTGATAGCTCCCGTGATCTGCAACGAAAAGGCAGTGCCCATTCTCGCACAGTAGTGTCTCTAACCACAGAAATCAACAGCATCACTTTTATGAGTAGTTTATCAGTCATCTGCATCTGCACTGTGTCCTGTTGTCTTACTTGTGAGAACTAGATGAGTCCAGATGTATCACTAATGAGTCCCAATGAGCCATTGTATCTGGCCCTAACAAGAAATATATGCAGTGGTTACAAAGAGACAGTGGTGGGAAGAACCTTGCTGCCCAAGAATCCAGATCAGGGCTCCTCATGCAAAAAGAAATGATGACAGTCAGTGTGGATAAAGAAAGAGCAGCAGCCTCAGACAGTTGGTAAAACAATCTGAAGAAAATATAGGATCATGACAAATGAAGGTAGCAACTGGTTTCAGGGTGGAAAGAGAGAATATTGCCCTCACTCCTGAATAATGACTACCTTTCTGCACATCAGGATGCCTGAGCAGCAGCTGCTAGCTCTAGGTTTCAAGTATCAAAGTACACAAAATAAGCAGCAACAGCAGCATGGCCCACGCAGCCTGCTCGCCTAAGTGGCTATCTACTTTTCCTATACCTAGAGCTAGCCTGTGGATGCTTCCATATTCAGGTGCTAAACATAAGCATTTAGCTTAATTTCTATCTTTTAACCAATCAGCAAAACACTTCTGTTAGCAGAGCAACAAGCCTAAACTGAGATAAGGCAGATCAACCCTTAAAAAAAAAAAAAGGCAAAAGCAATTGAGTTGTTTGAATTAAAACAGCAGCAGTCTCACCTTAGTATTACCCACTGCTCAGTACTGCAGACCCATCTAACATGCAACAGCATCTCTTTTGCACAGAAGAGTTCACTACTCAGTACTGCAGACCCATCTAACATGCAACAGCATCTCTTTTGCACAGAAGAGTTCACTACTCAGAACTGCAGACCCATCTAACATGCAACAGCACCTCTTTTGCACAGAACAGTTTATTATTATAATTTGACACCTAATAAGGCTAACACCTTTCTTCTGCTGATCTTACATCTACCTTTGCTTTCATGGTGCCTTATTATACATTTGTCTCTTTGAATCCTGTATGTATATTGCATGCATAAGCAGGACCAAATAAGAACACTTATTTTATGTAAGTATATTCAGCACAAAATTAGGGATAACTATTGCTACAATACTTTGTACAAACTTAACATCACTTTGCCTACTTAAAGGATAGAGTTTGATTGTAAACACAGATGTACAGTTTCTGTCAAATTCACACATGGTGCTAACAGTTATCTGTTCATCTGTTAATTAAAGCTTTTTTGTTTATTTTCCATCTCTCCTGTTGAAACTCTTGCAGTCATTTGTGAAAGGTTATATGATTTCCATCACAAGACTACTTCTGGGACTTGATACCACACCAGGATCTGGGTTTCTTTGTTCAGTAAGTTGTTAGTAAAAATTACTACAGAGTACTAGAGAAGATTCTGTACTGTCTGAAAAATACCTGGGGATTTGTGTACAGCACTTGCTCTTGTGAAAGTCCAAGAAAAGTCATGTTTCCTTTTTCACTAGGGGAGAAGACATGAAAATGGCCACTTCCATAGCAAAAAACCACCCCCAAGCAAAAGAAAATACAATATATTCTGTAAGGCTCAAAGGAAAACAGGATAGACAGGAAAGCACAGGAAATGTGTATTTTTTAATAACAGAGCAATGGCAGTTCAGCTAACAACTTTAAAAATTAAGTATATAAAACGCGGGAAACATTACCTGTCTGGTACAGCATGGCTAGCACTGACACACAATGCTATTTCATGACACCCATTTCCATCATAGACAATAAAGAGCAGAACTGGAATTTAGATAAAAATAATATATATTAAATGGCTTTAGTGTCAAAGTTCGAAAGTCATTGTTGTGGCTTAAGCAGTTATGTATGTCAGTGCAGAGTTTATATCTAGTTTTCTACACATGTATAGACACAAACCATAAGAATTCATTTTTACTAAAAATAAACCCCACCTTTCTGGCTTCACCTTCACCCATCACACCCCAGCTGTCAAACAGATCAACAGAAGTTATGTATCCACTGCTTTCTGGGGAACTACAAAGAATTGCAGGATGTTGTTCTCTAAAAAGAAGTTATCAATGATGGTCTAAGAAAGTTATTTAAATAAAAGCTAGTTATAGATATGTGGGTCAATCTTTAAGCTTTGCTACTGTGCATGCAAGACAGCTGAAACTCTGAAAATAGGCTCACATACCCTGAAATAAAGGTATTGTAATAGTAATTAAATACTAAAGATTGATTTTAGGCTTTCATATGTCATTTATGCTTAGTGTATTAATTTTCCTTCAACTCCCTTTTCTCCAGATATTCAGCCTGCAGTCTAGTGAGCAGTTTCCTGGCTGCATTCATAATACTTAAGTGGTCTTCAGTCTGTCCATCACCAGTTTCTTACTGCTGTCAATATTTAGCCCATTCTGTGAGAGTTTAGTCAGATGTGAACACTGAATGAAGTTTGCCATATAAGTTTTTAAGTAATTTTAAAACAAGAACAGAATTTCATAAGACTGAACCATTTGCACTGCAATGTCTCCCAAACAGGGAGAAAACAAAAGAAACAGTGTCTACAGACTCAACAGAAGCTCCAGATTTGTTGTGGAGCAAAGGTGCAATACAATCATTATTAGCTCGTGTTTAGTTGTGATTTTTTTTTTTCCAAGAAGAGTGTACAGAATAAGTGATAAACCCTCAAAAGCCCTCCTTCCTATCATTATTTGTTCAGGTGAAGATCACAGAAGAGGATCTATGGATTAGGACATATGCCAGACTGTATCAGAAACTTTGTTCTTCTACAGGAGACATTCCAATTGGAGTCTATAGGACAGAATCCCAAAAGCTTACAACATCCGAGGTATGTCAGTTTACTGTACTTTTCTTTCAATTCGATTATAGACTATACAACATTCTTTGGTCCTCATCAGAACGGGAACCATTTATTTAAAGAATATTATTAATATCCTATCTGCAAATGCACAGAATTCTGATAACCCACTGAAGGTCTCCTGCTGCTGACATGTATATGGCTACATGAATTCAGGGCCCCCATTTAGCCCCAGACTTCATGAATACCCAGAGCCGTCTAGAGTCTACATACTGACTTTCATTCCTGTGCTCACCTATAGAGAACTGACTGATTGGAAACAAGGGGTAGCTCAGGTGCAGATAGGACAGGCTAGGATAGTTCTAGTTTGAACCTGCATACAGTGATTAACAGCAGTATTCACAGCAAGCTGTATGACAAGGTCCTGTATCAGGTTTAACAAGACAACACTTCTCCCAAAACAGCTGGCATTTCAGTGTTCACATGAATTCCTAGTTAGAAATGAGCAACAAGAAAATTAATGTTATTCAGTGTATTGTGGGATTTCTCTAAATTTAGTTGCCAAACAGTGGTAATTTTTTGTATACGTGTATTTAAGCATCTGCCATCTAAATGTATACATTTCTCCCTATACATAATGACAAAACGACTTTTTACTATTTAGCGTACTTTGTGCAGATTTTATTTCTGTCATGTATAAACCACTTTTTTTACATGATTAGTACTGCCATCTCATGAAACCGTTCTCAAACACAGCTGTAAAATACAACTGTGAACAACAACTTTCCTCTTTCTTCTGCAATGTTCAGATATAGTTTACTGGTTTCCAACACAGACAATTTGCATTTTCTCTTCCATATTGCAGAAAAACATTGAGCCATGTAATGCCTAATGGCAAGGTTTAACTTGAAGGAAGTACACAGTTCAAATTCAGTTAATTTTTAAATGAGAGATACAAAAAGCTGTGCAAGATTCGACCACATTCAGTAGCTCCTCTCTCTCTGTGGGCCACCAATACCTTGACAAGCAGCTTTTACAGCTTAGCCAGTGGGCTGTGCCACTGCAACAATGTCGGCTGATTTTCTTCTTTTATCAGTATAGCAGCATTAACATCATTCATCAAAATCTTTCCTTGGAGAAGAACACAGGCAACACACTGTTAGTATGAAAAAAAAAGTCCATCATAGCTTTCAACAAAAAAAGAGGACATGCCAGATTTTAATAATTTATTAAATAAGGGTAAGTAAGGTAAAACTCATGGTGATGCTTTATTCTCACATTCACAGCTGGCTAGTTGACTTGAGGTCCAAAAAAGAGAATCAAGAAATTTGAACTATGAGCATACAATATATTGTGAAGAGCTCATTCAGGTGGCCTGTTTTTCTCCTTTCTGCTTGTTCACATGTTTCAAACATACAGGCGTATTGACAGACAGCAGCTGTGCAGGGAACGGGTAACTATAAGAGTAATACTCATCAAAACAGACTTCTGTTTTTTGGCAGAGGGCTGGAAGGTAAGCACACACACTCGGGTCTTCCGAAGCAAAATTAGCTAATAAATTAATGGTATTTCAAATCTTTTTCTGAAAGCAAGGTTTGTGATCATTAGTCACTTAACACTAAACTCACGATTGTACCATAACGCTAGAACCTCTGGAGCCTGTGCACATGCAGCTGCTCAGGTGCTTGATTACTTGGTCAGACAAGGCCCAGATTTTGTTTAAGATAGTTATTATCCATGGAGGCACTGAAACCAGCCTAGAAGCCACAGTCCAATAGATAGAAGAGTTCTATTATTTCCTATCGGCTTTCACAGGTAATCTCATGAAGAATTTGAGTTAAATCAGGTAGAGGAAGAAGGGGAAGGGGGACAGGGAAATCTAGTTATTAAACTGCTTAAAGTTTTTAAATTGTCAGACCGGACTAGTGTAGGTGAATGGCAATGTCTTTATTAAGTAAAAGCATTTGTTACTCTCTATAAAAAGCTCTGAATGCAGACCCGCAGTGGTATTGTCACACTTAAATACTTCAGCAGTCTCTTGTTCAGCAGGTGAGCATTTTTGAAACCCTTCCCCCTTTAGAGAGGGGCAGGGGAAATCTTCCTTAACCTTTGATTTTTCCCAGAATACAGAAGAGCAACATTAAGCTCTGCTGCTGTGGTCTTTATGGGTAGATACCTACAAATGCAGCGATGATGAAAGCTGCAACCCTTCTACAAAGTGTTTCTTATGAAGTTAAAGGATTTTTTGACTCATTTCTCTAAAAAAAATATTAGCATGGGAGAGCATATTAGCATGGGCGAGCACTTAGCTTTTTTGACATATTAAGCCAAAACCAACTTTCAAACCCTGTTGGATTCGATCTTTAAAATGGAGGTAACAGAAAAGTAAATTGCTATATTTCTCAGCAATTACAAACTTACAACCATAATTTGAAGGTTTCTAACTCAGAGAACCTCCAGTACACATATCAATTTGAGTTTAAAGAGACATAAAGCTTAGTTTGTGTTGCTGACACCTGGAAGTTATCAGTTAAGGGTTAACTCCGGTCACAAGAACAAGATTTGCCAATATTAATATTTCTACATACACAATTTCCTCTTTGACACTCCCTTTTTATACTGTGCACACAAGAAGCCCTCACTTCACTCTTGACAGATTATTACCTGCGTAGCTAGTTCACTATGGTTCCTGTTAAACAGTCCGTGTTTGTTTCTTTAGATTCACTTCTATTTAAATTGTCTTCTCTTTTCTTTCCCCCCTTTCTTTGTCAGTCACGAGAAATGGCTTCACAAGTAAGTATTTTCTTGTTGTCTGCCTGTTTCTGGGTGTTGTGGCTTAAGCCCAGTAGGCAGTAAGCACCACACAGCTGCTTACTCATTTCCCCCCACAGTAGGGTAAGGGAGAGAACAGAACTTTAAAAGTGAGACAACTTGGTGGTTGAAATTGAAGATAATTGAACCTGTAGAGAAAAAGCTGCATGTGCAAGGAAAGCAAAGCAAGGAATTCACTCATTCCCTTCATCAGGCAGGTGTTCAGCCATCTTCAGGAAGGCAGGGCTCCATCACACCTACTGGGGAAAACAAATACCGTAACTCTCCAAGTCCCTCCATTTCTTCATCTCCCCTCAGCTTTTACTGCTGAACACAGTGCCATATGGTATGGAATATCCATTTGGATAGTTGGGGTCAACTGCCTTAGCCATGTCTACTTCGCAGCTGCTTATGTACCCCCAGCCTATTCAATTGGCAGGGCACTGTGAAAAGCAGAAAAGGCCTTGACACTGTGTAAGCACTGATCAGCAATAACTGAAACACCCCTGGTATCAACACCATATTCATCACAAACCCAAAAGGTAACCCCCATACAAGCAGAAGAGCATTCCTGGAACACTAGTTGCAATCAAGGGCTATTGGTATATGGAGCAGTGAAGTTACTTCAACATACAACTTGCACCAAAAAAAAAAAATAAAATAAAGACATTGCTTCAGAACAGATTAGATGAATCTGCACATTAAAAGTGCTTCACATTTTACACACATAGCTCCCAGGAAGCAGCAAGGCAAGGGAACAAAGATCCAACAAACTGACTGATGTTTGCCATTGTAGGGCTGTTACCATCATACACCTAGGTATCTTTCACAGAGTTCACCATGTTTCTGTTCTAAGGAGTAACGAAAAATATAAGTACACTTCATAAAACAGAAGATGATCAATTACTACTTTGTAATAGTAATGACACTGGATCATTGATTCTGCTTCTCATGCACAGGTTTACAAGCTATGCAAAAAAAAAATAAAAGAAATTAAACCAACCAAACCTCAAAATAAATTGACAGTAGTTAACAGAAGTACTTTTAAAGAAAGTTTGAGACTGATTAAACCAGAGATGGAAACAAAAGTGCTCTGCACTGGGTTTTTATCTTCTGTGTATTGAACAGCTGCCACCAACAGCCACGCTTTTGTGCTGCCTTTGAAAGAGGGTTTGGGTTTCTGTGGTTTTGCCTTGTCTTAAAGAGTTTATTTTTCTCCTGCATACAGTGAAGAGCCATTCTGCACATCTTTCTTAAGAGGCACCATAAAAACTGAATTATCACCTAAGTAAATATTTATCACCTTAATTTATAGTTTTGACTCATCTGTCCCAGTGTTTCAGAAGTTCAAGCTAAGAATTTACAGACTCACAAAATCAAAAGACTCATTCTTTTACTTGGCATCTCCTGATTAATCACTGGCTCAGAAAAATATAACTTACACTCATGTAATAATTGGTTTGACTGGTCTCTGCCTCTGCAGAATTACTGGCAGCAAGCCCAGGTGGCTGTTTTATCAAGAGCTGGACAAGGAAAGCTCCCATGCTTTCAGGAAGAAAGGCAAACAAGACCATCATTCATACTCAGTTTGTGTCAGATTTATTCATGCCAAATAGACTATAATCGCACCTTATCAGATGGAATGTACTTTGCCTACCTCAGTCCTTACTGTAAAATATGTGCAAACCCAAAATTTCAATTTAAAATCACAAACAACAAAACCAAATAGCATTCCTGTACACAGGGGCTCAGCGTTCTCTCCTAAGCCCTCCCCATATAGTATCAGCTGAGTCAGTAACGTAACTTCAAATCTATTAAACCCCAAAACAAATGACAAACCAACAAAAGAAACCCCCCCAAAACCCAATCAAACAAACAAAGAAAGCAACCCAGACCACAAAACGCCCCAACATGAACAAATAATTAACCAACCAAAAAAACCCGACAAAACCCAAAATCAAATGAGCCTTTCTATTGCAGACTAAGCTGAGGAGCTCAGTAAATTAGCAGGTCTTTGCATAAGGTTTATTGCAAGATTCCAGTCTAGGATATTCAAGATGTTGCTACAACATAAGTATCTTTAGTGTTCTTTGTAATTGTTGGTTTTGATTGGTTTGTAGTTTGTTTGGGTTTCCTTTACACAGATAAAAGACAGTCTGTGCAAAAGGGAAAAAATAGTGTGTTTCTTACATTGTCAGACTTACTCATATCAAATATTATCTTATGGACTCCAGGAACTTTACAGATTCTGTGTGGGACAGGATGGTAAGCTTCGTGAAGAAAGGTTTTATTCAACACAACATTGCTTTCAGATTTTGTGTTAATGGGAGAAGGCCTTTAGAACCTCTAGCACTTCGGGCTAGATTTGCTTTATACTCATTACTTCCAGCTTACTGTGAACTGTTTTTCTTCTTGGGGATTTATACAAACTGAGCCAGTTCTACTTTAAGTCATCTCTGGTTTATATTTCATTTACTGATTTTAAGCACTCAGCATATTGAAATCAGTCCCCGGTAACCTGATAACATGACTTTGCTGATACCAGGGAGGGCTTCACTGTTTCAATTTCAATAAAAGACATGTTTCAAAGATCAGGGCAATAACTCAGGTTTCTAAGAAAATAGTTTTGAAACTAGAAGCTAGAAGAATGAGTTAAATGTAAAATAGGCATTAAAAGAATTTTGAAGGTAGCTTTTGACATGTTTGTTTATATATTCCCTATAATCGTTTTGTATGTTAGAACTGCATATATAGCCTATCTGCTTGAGATATTTCAGTACTGCTATATGTGTGTACTACTGGCACTAACTGGGTGGCATGAAGAAGACAGCAACAGAGGGCTAGATTTTGGCTTTGAAATCTGCTGCTTTTTGTTACTCTATGAGTGAAAAAACATCATTATGCTTTAAGTTAGGAATTAATCACCTCTTTTGCAAGAGGAATCCTGAATCACACAGAACACTACTGCACACAGCCGTACTTTCTGACACAAAGGCCTTCCAAATATTATGTGCTGGAAGGTAGAAAATGCCTAGGAATTTGAGAAACAGCTAATAGGTATGTTCCACCTATGGTCTTAAAAGAATACTCAAAACAGCACAGCTACAGTCGAACCATTACTTACTGAATCCACACCATAAATCCAAAAAGAAGTTACAGAACTCAAATTTCTAAAAATATGCAGACTTGGAAGTAAGCACAGAATTAATTCAGAACATATTCCTAGATTCAGGAAAGGCAATATGAGAAGGCTGAAGTTGGTCTAGAATCAGAAATGGAATCAGGCACTAAGTAACAAGTATCTGCTTTCGCGATTGAGAAGTGTGTTTATATCATCAGTGGGCTTTGTACATAAGTCAAAGTCTAGGGAAGGGTGCCCAATTCAGGAACACTCGCTAAGTACAAACAGCTGAATCTCCTCAGCTCCATTGAAACCAAAACACATGTTCAGCCGCACTGTTGAAAGAAATTAGTGAATATCTTGATCCGTTTCTATTTTTTAAAGCCCTTAATCTCTCCTTTCAAGTCTCAAATCTCTATCAGTGTGGAAGAATGGGAAGACACTAAAGACACCAAAGAACAAATTAGTTATCGTAATAACCATCGTAACTCAACATCTAGTGATCAGTCTGATCACCCCTTGTTACGACGAAAAAGCATGCAGTGGGCCCGGCGACTGAGCAGAAGAGTACCAAGACACACCGGGAAAACAGCTGAGAAGATAAACCAGCAGCGAATGAACCTTTACAGGAGATCAGAAAGACAGGAGCTTGCTGAACTAGTGAAAAACAGAATGAAGCATCTGGGCCTTTCCCCAGCAGGATATGGTACGGTTACTATGATTCTTTAAATCAATAATTAAAAAAAAAAAAAGAAAAAGAAATCAGTGTTTTGCAAGATGAACTGATTTTTAAGAACTGAGGATGCCATAAACAAAAGTAGAAAAGTTTATGGTAATGGTTTTATTGGTTGGGCATGGGGGGGGGGGGGGTGTCTATTTTCAGACAAAACTCTGAAAAGTTTGTTTTTAAATATAATTAATTTGGGGGTTTTTTTGCCTCTAGATGAAATGAATGATCATGAGAATACCCTCTCTTACATCCTGATCAATCCTTCTCCAGATACAAGATTAGAGCTGAATGATATAGTGTAAGTTATAATGTCACAAGACCTGCAGAATTTGTCATTTGCACTTCCTGTCTGAATTTATTTCATTATCTTTCTGCTGGAAAAGAAGCCCAAACTTTCCTATACACCTGCAAAAGAATAAAAATACTTGTCTATTTAAATAGACATGTCGCTATACACATGTGTATTTAAAATAAATACATATTTAATACATATATTAGTAATGCTCTTACCTACATATTCTGTCCTCCTCATCTTACTCTGTGTATTTTGAAAAATAATCAAATTTGACAGCTGACATTTTGACTCTAGAGCGTGATGGTCTTTGTCTGTATCAGAGTTTAGTACTTGCAAATGGATCTTACAGTAGTACTCCTTGTTCTCTTTCATTCCAGAATTAATACAATACATTCCATTGCTAGCACTAGCACTCTCCTTTTTTAAGAGCAAAAAAACCCACCACAAAACCAAATCAAACCAAAATCAAACACCACAAAAATCAAAAAATGCACTACAGGCTCTTTGTTCCTTTGACATTTTGTTTGTGTTTTTTTTTTTTCCTGGAGATTAACATATTTGCTCTGCTGTTGGTGTGGCTGATGCCCTATAAAAACATCAAATTCAGAGGTGCAGTTTCAGTTCCAAGATTTGCAATTAGGAGCTCCAAATTTCAGCTCTCTGCAGTAACACACAAAGATCACACATAGGAATTGCTTATGCAGTACCACCCTAGTCATGCCTAAGGGAGGAAGATGACCATGAGATTTGGGATCTGTGACATCAGGCCAATTATAAACCCTCAACACACTAGCAGGTTTTTATCATACATTTAGGCTTCTTACAACTTTGTCAATGTTTATCACTATACAAATCTTGTTAACTTTTATTTTATTTTTACTTAAGGGAAACCTGAATTTTCCCTCCAAATCTAAGAAAACCTGTTCCTAAAAAAAAAGCAACAAACCAAAACCCCAAAAAATCAAGCAAGATAAGCATGTGTTTAAACATGCTTCATTTGTATTTAATGAACAGAATAGGGCAGACTCTTTCACTGCTCATCAGTTTCATTGCCTAGATCAGCAAAAAAAAAATACAGATTGTTCTGGAGTAAATATAAACATCAGATTGAATAGAGTTTTTTAATCCCCTATTTACATCCACAGTTTTCTTACACAAATAAGTTCAGGCTATGTGTAGCAACAAATTCTGTAAGATAGAGAAAACACTGCTATGCTATTTTAGCCCTGACAGAAGGAAGAACATCAATAAAGTAACAGCAACAGGTGGTGTACCCAAATCCTGGAGATCAGGCGATTCTCCTGAGTATCCACCATAAAGGCAATGTGCCACAGACTCAGAAGCCCATGCTTTGAGGAGCCAGGAACAGTCTGTTACTAGGTGAGATGAAAACATACAGCAGTTCTGGGGGACGTATGACAGTGATTGCTTGTACACTTACAGAAAATGTTAGTTCAGTTAATTGGACATTTTATTGAAGAATTTTGGGGGGCTTTTTATTAAGTCTGGGGCAAAACATACTCATTATGCAGAATAGTAGAAGTTCACAGCCTGTAGAACCAGAAGCTTTCTTCAGAGCCACTGCAAAGTCACACAGGAAATCTTTAGAAGCACCACACTGCATGCAAGCAGCCTCTATTTGGAGAGCGTTTCAAGCATTTTCATTGGGCTGATGAGGAGATGGATAGAAATGTGGCATGAAGTTATGAGAGAAAGGATTCTTCTATATTTGGTTTTCCTGCAATTTCATTTTGTGGGGGGAAAGTTACAAGATATACAAGGATTAATAAAATGCTGGGATTAATCCACAAAGCTACTACAGTGCTAGCACCTAAAGCCATCTCAGATCAGATAGTTTATCACTTGAGATAGCTGTCAAAACAGTGAAAAATTTACACTTATAAATTAATGGGAAGCTCTTAAATCCTTTACCCAACAAAAGCAGTTCTTTTAAACATCTCAAACTTGTAGTCAAACTCTTGAGTCATTTTCCTCAAGTATTCAAATCTACCAGAAATTCTTATTCTGAAGAGTCTGTCTACAGACTGTCAGCTTTTACCGAGATTATCCACATCAGGCTCTTTATTCGTTGGGCAGAGTGACAAGAATTATGCATTGTTTTCTCACAAAATTATTTGAGAAATAGCTCTGTGGACTGCTTGTGCCTTCTTGAAGGAGTAAAGGAAATGCATTAAGAAATACAGAATTACTGGCAAAGGAGCTATCAGTCAAAATTAAGGTTTAGCTGTGCCTAGTGCATACATATGATGTCTAGGCAAACAAAACATGAAAAGCTCTATTATTAGCATCAAAAGCAGGTGGAGTTACCCAAGTGTCCAAGTTACCCAACAAGAACTAGACTAAGCACCTTCAAAGTAAGCCTTTATGTCTTCCTCAGATCTTTTCACCTTTACAACTGTATGCACCTATTATATTCTTGCTCACATCATTTCTTTTTAATAAAAATTGTAATTTCTTTCTATAGATACTTGATCCGACCTGATCCATTGGCTTATGTTCCAAATACTGCACCCAGCCGAAAAGACAGCTTCTGCAACACTGTGGGACAAGACACCAGGGAGGAGACACAACTTTGATATGTGACTCAGCATAAAATTAAGAGATAATTTTATACACGTGCTGTTTCCACGCACCATTTTCAAAACTGAGTGATACATTTTATTCAGATTTTGGAAACAAAATAACAGTGTGTAAGTGACCAAATTTAGAAATACGTGGTCTAGAAACTCTGATTTAAAGGACTGTCAGGCTTGTGGCCTATTCAATACAGTAGCTGAACTTCGTCAACTTAACAGAATTATGACACCTATTGCTATTTAACCAATATGAACAAAGTATTTGAGAAGTGACAGATTCCATCGTGCGTTTTGCTTAGATGCTTCTAAGCATATTTATCAGGGTGACAGCATGTCAGTGACTAAGCTTCTGACCTACGTCAGTAAAGATTATGTGATGTCCATCAACCATGCATAATTTGTAGCAGAAACTATGTTAATACCTACACTGCCAATGAGTCTTTGTGTCAAGAATCCAGACTCTGAAATCAAATTTTCAGCCTCAGCCTGTCACCCGTTTATATCGGAACAAGCTAGTTTCAGTCCCATTTTAACTTCCAGGACTTCAGTGTTAGTTCTCTGGGTTTACACAGACCAGACTGAATAACACAGCCTAGTCATACCCTAGAGGTTAATATCTAAGGCATACCCACTGGAAGATTAGCTCAGGAACCCACCTGGAGAAATGTCCCTGTCATCTCACATAGGCAGTCCCCCACGTTTGTAACAACTGGGAAGGCACTATCTGTGTGAAGAGGCAAACAAAGGTAACAGTGGTAACTCAGGTGAAATAGAATCCTTTTAACCTTAGTGAGTTTGTCAACAGAAACCCAAACAGATCATAATATAAAAGTGAAAACACCCCTGTAAGGAATTAATATGCCAGAACTGCAACTGTCCAAAGTATGCCCAGTTATTCAGATTACCCAAATGTGATACCTAATTTCATATGAAATATTTATCACACTGAAAAATCAAAGAAAATTACAACCCATTTCATAAAATGAATGCAATACCACATTATATCAAAAGGTACCATGGATCTGAAGACTCCATATTTTGGCATTAAGGACATAAGAAAGCATCTACTACTGCGTGAAACACACGGAGCTGCTACAGAATCCCCAGTCTACACATACAAGAATGACACAATTGATCAAGCTTTCTACAGAATTAAGACTGTACGTGGTTGTCCAAAATCACATTCTTGCTTTGCTGTCTGTCACAAAAGGAGGAAGAACATGCTTAAGGTAAAAACCCTACTGTTAGGATTATAGAACTGGTACAAGAAATTTGGCAGGTACAAAGGAAAAATCGATTATTTGAATTACCTTGATGTCCTACATGTACAAAGAGTCAGTAAAAGTTGTTTATAACCTCTTTTATATTATTTGGTAGAACAACTACAATTTGTTTCTGAAAAATAAAATACCAAGTTGCCCAGTGAACAACTCCCAGATGTGCGTACGCTTGTCAACATTGTAAGGATGTTGAAATTAAGTCACATTCATGTGACAGGTGACAGCAAATCTGCTATTATTCCCTCCCTTCCTTCCTTTTAATTCTTTGAAAACTTAACTAATCTGTCCCAAATTGAGTCAGAAATTCTAAGGCCGTTATTATAAAAATAAAACCAAACACAGAGGTCTCAGAGTGGACCGAAGCCATCAGATCAGGAATACCAGTTTTAAAAGAGTAACTGGGAAAGCAGGGTTTCTCAGCAATTTTTTTGTATTGATGTATTAAAGTAGCATCAGGGTTCAGAAGGGGTTTAGCGATTATGCATGAAATGCATCATTTTTCAGTGTTTTCCCACACACACTAGTCATTGATCAAATTATTCACAGGTAAAGACAAAGTATTTCAAATGTTCCCTCTGGGCACTAGTTGATAAATTAACAACTGAAGCAGCTGCACAGACTGAAGCCTACAGTTTCTTAAAAACCAATAGATGTTACAGGGTCTTGTCAAGACCTCTCGTTGGAGTTCACCAAAAACAGACTGCATGTTCAGTGTGAATAACTTTCTATTTTGAATGCCTTCAGTGATAAGACTGCATTCCAGTTAATGTTTTCTAAATTATTCAAATACCTTAAAAAGATTACTGCAAAATATTAGGAGGATCCTTTGTGCCATACTTAAGACCTTTCTAACAGAGCCTCAAGCAGGCAGACAGGATTCCAAAACATGCCTACCCTGCGGATGGCCAGCAAGTTAAAGACTCTGCTCTCAGTGTGATTCACACTTTACAGGCCTTCCCTGTGCACTGCCTATCATACCCACCACAGGTTTAAAGTGTCTCTGCCACAAGGATACATAGCTAGGACTTGATGCCCTGCATTTACCGGCCTAAAAGCGGTAGAAACAAGCAACCCGTTCCCATCCAACCCAGCAGAATTGCCGGAGTTGAATAATAGCATCTAATGTGACCTGGTATTTCTCCAGGCTTAATGAATTTCTAATTACTCATTGGCCCCAGAAGATTTGTTAAAGCAAACACAGAGACAGCTGAAGACACATGCAGTCTCCAAAATGAATGAAAGGCAATCTTTCTGAACAAAATACTTGGTTCTACAAAATCTGCTGAAGACAAGGTAATAAAAACTAAATAGCTTCTTGTGAAGTAGAAGTTCTAATAACCCATGAATAATATACTGCGAAGTTCTGTTACTCAAAATATACTGCCTTTCATATTGAAAGCAGAATGGCTTTGCTTCCTCTGGAGTATCTTCACAGACAGACCCCATTCTAGTGGGATTAAGACCTTTCAAGAACCGCCCAAAGAATCTCTACATCAACACTGAATGAGACAATACACATATTTTCTCCTGACTCATTTCTACCAAGAACTCAAATGTGCCCATCTTTCCCAACACTACCTTAACAGCTACCAAGCAACTTGGTACTAAAGTCACAATCCCAGTGAAGAAAGTGATAGCAGGTAATAACTAGTTCATTCTCACAAGAGAATTCTCCAGCAAAGTGAGATCTACCTATGAAAACTTGTAACCTAGTCTTCAATAAAAAGTCAAAGTGTTTCAGTGGGATGCAGTGTGTTTCCTTAACTTTCACTCCAGTTCCACAACATGCAGTAATTCACATAATAAGTAAAAACAAAACCACATTTTGAAAAACCTGCAGTAGGAGGAGTTAGTGAGGTTTTCATCACATTTCAACTTAGAAATTAAAAGAACAGATATTTCCCAGCATACACATTTCCCACATACACAAACAACTTGCTACAACTACTCTTTAAGAACTTTAAAGTACACAAATATATACTTATGTATTACTGAATATTTCTTATAGATCTTTGTTTACCAGTGCACCAATAAAACACTAAAGAAGAAACAGATCTCAGGATTCAGAAGTGGAGGAAAACTGAAATGACGTCAAGTGCCCCAGAGGTAACACACAATTCTGTAGATTCTAGGCAACTAGGGCTGACAGCAACCATTCTGTAATTTTGGAGCACTGATGCATGAGGTTTTGCTGCATTGAATTACAGTTGATACCTGAGGGAAATCAGTCACTGCAACCTGGAAATGAATTAATAAAAACAAGCAGCGCTGTTTGTAGTGACAGCAAGTTGTACAAGGATGTAAATTCTTTGGTTATGTCACTACCTTGAAAAAGTATTTTCTATAAAATAAAGCAACCTGCATAAAATATTGTTGCATATTCTTGATATTATATTAGAAAAAGCTCACCCCACTTTGAAACAGATATACATTGAATAAATGGTCTAAAGAGCTGCACTACTCATTTTCAGCCACTGTTCCTTTTGCTTGCTGCAGAGACAGAAGAGTTATTAATTCATATTATGAAAGATTACCAAGACTTTGCTTATCTTCTGAAATCAATGCAAAATATTAATGATGATTGCTATATACTTCATTACTGCCTATGCTATTAATGCAAGAATGCTGTCAGTAATGGTAGTTCAACACAAGTATAAACTCCCACAGCCTCTCAAGAAGTTTAAAAAAGGCAAACACTTCTGCTTCATAAAGTTAAAATGTAGCATTTGAAGTTTCTAGAGTTTTATTTCTTCTAAAAACTCCAGACTGCATACCATTACAAAAATTTGCAAATGACCCTTGCCAACCAAGGAGAGAGGCTGGGATGCAAATATTTATTAATGTTGATGAGGTGTCCCAGGCAAATTGGGGCATCCCAAATGTGGTTTTACTCAGGGCTTTTATACCTTTAATGCATTCCAGTACAATCTGATTTAACTAATCACTAACACCCACACTGCCAATTGCTGATCATTATAAGACTTCTCCAGATCATTTCCCATTTCTTCTTTTATCCTTTCACCACTACAGGCTGGCTGATGAGTGGTAGGTAACTGGTTTCTTTGGCATAGCTTTTGTATAGCTTTTAACAATACAGCATTTTCTCCCACTACAAGTTACGAACCCTCACTGCTTCCATAGCTGTGCAGTGGTGTGGCAGACTCCAAATATGAACAGAGAATTGCTGTTTTTTATAGTGTTACCTTTGGGCAGGTGGCAAATCTTCATTTGTGTCACTGGTTCCTTGGATAGATGAGTGCAAGTTCTTTCACCCCTCTATACTCCCTGGTTTGTACACAGTAGAGACAATAATAACCTTGTGAACTGCATTGAAGTTTATAAAGAACAAACTATGGCCAACAGATAATTAGCAATACCACATTTAATCACATCCTTCTAATTCCAGCTCTTCTCATAAGATCATTCTTTACAAAAAGTCACCTCAAACACCTGCTTTTTTCTTTTTTCCAAAAAGGCAATAGTTTCAAGTTATTACATTTATAATTTTAATAGTGTAATAGTTCTACAGTAAGATACCATGCAACCAAGAATTCATTACTTTTATTAAAATCTGAAAGGAACAGTATACTATGAGTTATTTTAACTAAATTAAACTCGTTGAGATAGATTAATTTAGTACATGTTGTGATGCAGTATATTCTGGCTTTAATTGTGTTTGCTGCTTACTAAGTATAGCAATTCAGTAAGTCCAGTAATACATTTTCCCAGCGTTAGAAACAAGAACCGTGGGAGTGTTGCAACATTTTCATTACTCAGAGATTTATTTTTTTTTACTTATTTTTTGATAAAAAGTTGAAGTTAGGTTATTATATTAAAAAAACAAACAAATAGTGAAAATACTGAAAGGTTCAGGGGATTTCTCATATACCTCTTCTAAGTCAACTCCTGTCAGCAGTACCTGGGAATAATTGCAGGATGATGAGTTTTCAGGAGCTGCTGTGCAAAAATTCTGAGATTTAATTTGGTACTAATATATGTCTCATTATAAAGTAAAATTGAGGTCCCAGGAAAGTCAGTGAAAATTTTGCCTCTGATACAAGTGAAATAGAAGACTCAGCCATTGCCTAAACATAGCTGTTAGCGCCATGTGAGATGCCCTTGGGATTCCATCTGGCTCCAGCTGACAGTCTAGCAGTGCTTGAGTTTTCTGTAGGTTCTGCTATTGTACCTGCCAGCCTTATGGGTAATCTTTGCATGACTGGGACATCTCAAATAGAATTAAGCTCTACTTTCAGATCACTGATCTGAGCCCAAGTTATCTCCCACTGGACATCCCATTCAGATAGTGCCTTATACAGATACTGTCGTACACATGTGCTGACAGCTACAGCCTAATAGATACGATGGCATTCCTAACAGGAAAATATACATTAAGATATTTATATAACATGCATATCTTTATATAAAAATATTTTAATAAAGATGCACATTTAAATGGAATCATCCTTTCCATTCAGCTATGCTGCCAAGTCTCACACAGACTATATATCAAGAAGCACATCCCATATTGTACAGGTGAAAAATGTACAGACCTCTTTTCCAAAACA